GTACGAGTAGCACTTAATAGTATGCCAGATGCTCTTTGCTTGACAAATATTTGAACTTACACCCCATCGATACACTCGACGCAAAGCACTGAGAACACAATGCAACACTTGTTGTGCAACACTGCGACACAAGTTCGCAGCAGGAGAAGCTTTGGCTGGGTTGCTTGTAATGCTTAGGCTGCTGGGTCAGCCACCGAGTAAAGTTCAACAGATTCGTATTGACAATGGCAATTTGCAAATATTGTTGACCAACTGGTGCACATAGTTCGTGGTTGGATATTGCTTAAATTATGAGTTGCAAAAGTGAATTTCTCAAATCCGTTGCGAAGGGCCTGTGAAAACTCTGAACATATTCAGGATGAAGGACACCTTCAGGGAGAAACAAAGAAAAAAACGTTAGTTTTTAGAAATATAATTTCGTCTGTTAGAAGAATTCAACTTTCATAAAGACTTAAGGCGATTTCTAAATTTCACGTCGATTTTCTTTCTGAGTGCAGGGCATTCTCGAATTTTCTTCTTTTTTTTTGTGTTACTATTACGTTCACCCATTAAAAATTCTGGATTGCATTTATGCCCCACTCACAGCTTTGTGAAATTCTTATCAATTATAAATGCAAGTCACAACAAAATAATCTTCGATACTGTCAAATGCACCTTTACGTACCGCTTGACTGATAATAGTAATTTGCTATTGCAACTGCTAAGTGGAAACAAATATATGTGATTGCCAGGGGTGTACTTAGGTCAACTTAGTTACACAAATTGCATTCGTACCATCCCCTCCCCCTCCCTCCACCCTCCACCCGCCTCCCACAATCCACAACTCGCTTTACGAGAGGCTGAAAAGCTGAGTATTGTGCCGATTAAGCTGATAATTGTGATTCAAGTATAATACTCGTATATGTTACAAATGATATGCAGTTTATTTAATTGATGCATGGTTGATTTTCATGAAATATGCACCAATCTAATACCCTGGAGCTACGGACAAATATTAAGCTCTAATAAAAATATATATTTATATATACACATAGCTTACTTTCAAGCGTGGTCTACATCAAATATATTCTTTGATATGATACTCCCTTAGGCATATAAATTAAAACACTTGCAGTACTACTAGAAGACTACAATTAGAAAAACAAATAACACTGAATTGTTTCTTGGGGCAAGGGCAGCTTAATGTATTATTCAAATTATATTTATAAAACGCAAGATTGTGTGTAAAAACCAGGAGCTTCTTTCCTTAATGCCAGAATACATGTTTCTACAATTTAAAAAAAAAGATGTTTAATTTATAGGGTATTCTTCATATGTGTACATGGAACTCCTACATTAAGATTCTAGATTTACACTATTATATACTGTTTTCTCCAATTCACAAATTTCTTCTATAATAAGGATTTGCATTCTACTATTGTCTACTATCTACTATTTAGAAGTATTTTATATTGTTAAGAAATATATATCTAAAAATATTAGAAAGGAGCATTTCTCATTTTAGAATCTTTTAATTTTTAGAAATGTTATTATAAAACTATATTTTTTGTCTAGTTTTTAAGGAAATTTTCTAAGCTTCTTGACGATTTTTTTTAGTGTAGCCGTTAATTGACGTTGCCGACTTATCATTGAATTGTTACAATTGATACTGATATAAATGTAAACAACAACAGCAGCAGCAGTTATATAATCGAGCGGTTAGTATTTAAAGAGTCGGCTCAGCGTTTTAAAGGCACATATTAAACAGATGTGTCTAGTTAGCTGATTGGGACGGAAGCAACAAGCTAACATGGATCGGTGGCAGAACCGCGTTGCAGTTGTAACCGGAGCCAGTTCTGGGATTGGTTCGGCCATTGCGGTGGATCTGGTGAATGCTGGACTAGTTGTCGTGGGATTGGCACGTCGCGTTGAACGTATTGAAGAGCTGCAGAAATCGTTGCCAGCTGCACGTCGAGAGAAGCTAATTGCGCTCCACTGCGATGTGGGCAATGAGAGTTCGGTGAAGGAGGCCTTCGATACTATTGAAAAGCAACTGGGCGGCATCGATATCCTGGTGAACAATGCCGGAACTGTGCTCACCGGCCAACTGGTGGACATGCCAACCGCCACGATCCAGACAGTTGTGCAGACAAATATAATGGGCATCGTCAATTGCACACAGCGCGCCTTTCGCTCGATGAAGCAGCGCAATTTCGATGGTCATATTATCCTTATCAACAGCATTCTGGGCCACAAACTTCGTGATCCTATTGAGGGTAAGGTACCCGATATGAACATCTATGCGCCCAGCAAACATGCGGTCACCGCTCTAACGGAAATGTATCGCCAGGAATTCATTGGTCTGGGAACGCGCATTAAAATCACGGTGAGCCAAACAACAATACACAATAATAATACTCAAGGTGAGAAGTGAGAACCGACTGCGGAAACTCTGTTATCACTGTAATATCATCTAAAAACAGGTGGCTAAAAAGTCTTCTTTAGGGGGGTGGGACTGCGACGGCAGTTAATATATCTCCATCCTCAATCATTGCGTAATCATAAAAGTGCTATAGATATAGGCTTTTCGGATTCGTAAGAGCGGAGTGGCCGATCTTTGAAGAATGTCAGCCTAAGACTGTAAGTGATATATGGTTTTATCGGTAGGCATTTAGCGCAGTGTCTGACTCGAGCATGGGCGGGGTATATATAACCAAGATTCAAGTCTATAGCTTCAGAAGTGTCATACGGAAGGATGAAAATTGCACAAGACCACTGGACTCCTCTGCCATCGGATGAAGATTGTAAAAAAAAAACTAAATCGATTTGCAGTTTATGTTAAATGATACATATTTATTATATATACATATTATTATAAACTCTGAAACACTTGTAGTGTACTGATCTCGTCTTTTCTACTTGCAGAGCATTAGTCCGGGTGTTGTAGATACGGAAATTGTGCCGGAGAGCTTCCGTAGCTCAACAATGCTAGGACCTCAGGATATTTCCCAAGCAGTAATGTTTACCCTATCAACGCCTCCACATATGCAAGTGCACGATATGATTGTCAAGGCTGTCGGCGAGATGTTCTAATCTGTTTCTTTTTGGTTTTTTCTTTTGAAAATATAAGAACACCTTAATAAAATTCTTTAACACATGTGTCACGAAACAAACCAAACGATTTTTCACTTACATGCGTTGGTATTTATTTTGATTTATAGGTATATTAAAATATGTACTTATATACATTAGATGTGTATACATATATATTCTGGCAGTCAAAACTAAGTTATCTTTCGTTCTCAAACACGTCCGCTCACTTTACTTTATTCATAACGATTCCTTTATTTTTCTTCTTCATGTTGGTGATCACACAATTGATATCGATCGACATCGATATCGATGTTCAGTACATGTTGCATGTTAGAACTACATACATACATCACTAGAAGCCTGTTACAATATGTGACTATGAAATATTTATACTTGAAATGTTTTCAAAGTATAATAAGATTATCCTCTGCTCTCTCTCTTTCTCCATCTCACACTCTCAATCTCGTTGCCTCGTTTAATCCCTTGCTCTCAATTATTAATTATGACCTTAAGCACCTTCGGTCAACTATTGCTATTACAGTTTCGGTAAGCTGATCCAATATTGAGCAACTTTTTGTATGGCAAGACTTTACGCAGCGGCATTCCAGTTAATATTATCGCCAATGATCAAAATCCAGTTAATATTCCGACGCAACTTCCCATAGCTACGCATGCACCAACACGCTTCGCATCTGTATGCTCTAAGAATCATAATTATTTTTTTCAAGCTTCTCAACAACGCATTAATTTATCTATTTGTACGTCGCAATTTGTCGATTTGTATACCCTGAACCCATTAACAATGGGTAAAAAGGGTACAATGGTTTTGTGCAAATGTATGTAACAAGCGTCTCCGACCCCATAAAGTATATATATTCTTGATTAGGGTCAGCAGCCGAGTCGATATTGCCATGTCCGTCTGTCCGTCTGTCTGTATGAACACGCAGAGCTCAGAGACTATAAGAGCTAGTCTTCAAATTTGGAATATAGGTTCTCGTATACCCGGCGCAGAACAAGTTTACTTTATTTTATCGATAATTGCCTCCGTTTATCGATTATCGATACATTTAAATTTCCAATAGCAATAAATGCGACCATTTTAAAGGCAGAATCTTCTAATTAATACATAACATACATATGCATATTATTGATAAGCTGGAAATTTTCCAATAAAACTAAAAATATCTAAAAACTGGGTTCAATGTAAATCGTAGCCGAGCTCACTCGACTACAGCACTCTACTTGTTTCCTTTAACTCATACGAGTTCGTAACTCAAGTCAATAAACTATAATCAATCCTATCAGCCCATGAACTCTGAACCCATAACCTGTTAGAGCGAGAATTTCCCTCGTCAGGGTTTGCCTGGATAGGAGATTAAAAAGAAGTACCATCTGCAACCAACGTTTATTTTTATTTATTTATTGGCTGGAATGGTATCTGTGCGATCGTAACCAATCGCACTTAGCATTCCGGACCACTGGTGCTATGCTATATGCCGAGCAGCATACATATGACCAGCAAACCAGTTATGCAAATTAAGCGTGGTGTGTATAAATATTGACATAATGGCCTGTGTGCCAAAAATACTCTTAAATATACATGTGTGTATATATGTCATGACTTCTTCATAACACCTGCTCAACTTAAATTAACTCGTTTTCATTAAGCATAAGCAAATTATAAGCAACCTCACAAGTTGTACTTAGGTAGTTATTAATTTGCAATTCTAGCAAGACTATGGATCTCCGAAATTTCGACACAATAACAGCGTAATTTCAGCTAACGACAGCTTTGTGATTGAACACGCGATACAGATGCAAACAACAACAGCGGCAGCTAACGACCGGTTGTTATTTAAAGCGATGGCTCAGCGTTTTAGAACCACACATCAAACAGAACATTCCGGTTAGTTGGTTGACTGGGACGGAAGCAAGACAGCATGGATCGGTGGCAGAATCGCGTCGCCGTTGTAACCGGAGCCAGTTCTGGGATTGGTTCGGCCATTGCGGTGGATCTGGTGAATGCTGGACTAGTTGTCGTGGGATTGGCACGTCGCGTTGAACGTATTGAAGAGCTGCAGAAATCGTTGCCAGCTACACGTCGAGAGAAGCTAATTGCGCTCCACTGCGATGTGGGCAATGAGAGTTCGGTTAAGGAGGCCTTCGATACTATTGAAAAGCAACTGGGCGGCATCGATATCCTGGTGAATAATGCCGGCGTTGCGATCCCCGGCCAACTGGTGGACATGCCAACCGCCACGATCCAGACAGTTGTGCAGACAAATATAATGGGCATCGTCAATTGCACACAGCGCGCCTTTCGCTCGATGAAGCAACGCAATTTCGATGGTCATATTATCCTTATCAACAGCATTCTGGGCCACAAACTGTTTTCTCCTATGGGGACTAATGCACCCAATGTGAACATCTATGCGCCCAGCAAACATGCGGTCACCGCTCTAACTGAAATGTATCGCCAGGAATTCATGGGTCTGGGAACGCGCATTAAAATCACGGTGAGGCAGCAAACCACGAAACACAATTATAATAATCCATTTGGAATACTCTGATATCAGCGTAGTATCAGCTAATAACAGGTGGCTAGAAGGTCTTTTCATAACATAATCATTAATATACCTTTTCAATGTGGTGACTTCAGATCTAAAAGTGTGAAAGATTCGCAATTTGTGAAACAGTGGATGGAAATTTTTGTTGATCAATTTTCGGAGAGGGATTCTCAGAATGTACCTACTACATTTGGAATTTGTACCTCTTCAGATGTGGTAGTTAATGGGCGTAACAATGAAACTTGATTACTAATCTAGTAGGATGCTAAGAGCAATCAACCTTTAAAGTTTGGTAGTTTTGGCATCAATATATAAGGAGATGACCAGTTCAAAAGCTATGGAAGATATAGGCTTTCCGATTTTTGGGAGCGGAGCTTACTTGCCGATCTCCGAAAAGCGTCAACTTAAGACTGTGAATTATATGGTTTTATAGATATGCTGTGCAGTTTATGTTAAGTTATACATTTATTATATTGATTTGGTGTTTTTTACTTGCAGAGCATTAGTCCGGGTGTTGTAGATACGGAAATTCTACCGGATAGCTTCCGTGAGGCTGTTGGAAAAACAATGCTAAGACCCCAGGATATTTCCCAGGCCGTAATGTTTACCCTTTCGACTCCTCCACATATGCAAGTGCACGAGATGATAATTAAGCCAGTCGGCGAGATGTTCTAAACTTTATTATCTTTTTGGTGTTTCGTTGTTGTTATAAATATAAGAACACCTTTAAAAGTTCTTAAGCACATGTTTCACTAAAAAACCAAAGGATACAATGGTGTTTTTTTCTGATGTAAGCATTTTAATATAACTGTAGCTCCAGTTGCGATAAAGTACCATTTTTCAAGTGTGCAAATTTAGTATTAAGTTTTGTTCTTTATCGATATTTTGCTCTCGAACTTCCGAGGAATTGGTTTCTTATGGATTTGATACAATATATTGAACCTATCTCCATGTTAAATAACTTTTAATGTCTATTTTAATCTTAAATACTCAATTCGAAGTTTTGATGGAATCTTACGTACGAACGAGAGCCATTTCCATCAAACTCATCAACCTTTGTCCACACAATAACAATATAATCAAAGTCAAATCTATTAAAAACATATATTTTATAAAAACACAAAACTGCCGAACACAACAATTTTTATAATAATTGCGTAAGTGGTGCTACTATTTTTCCCTACTTTTTGGCACTTTTCCAGTACTACCTTTAACGAATACTAAACAACAAAGCAACATAAAAAAATCACCATTTACTTAATATCAAATGCTTACTGTCACCATATAATGAATGAAGCTGTTTGAGGCTGCGAAGCTTCACAAATATAGTTGAGTTTCAAATCACATTCGTTGTCATTCAGCGCATCCAAATCACATTCGTTGTCATTCAGCGCATCCAATTCTGAATTTCCCTTATTGTGGTAATTACCGGGATTTCGTGGAAGCCAAACACTTAGATATATTGGCTGGCCAGTTGCCATCCACATATGGGCTCCTTCCTTGGCCAAGTCAATGTCCGATGTCCAGTATCTGATGTAATCATTGAATGACTTTCGATGGCGATCAATAGAATTCCATTCCTCAAAGCTGACCAAGCAGGCATTCATCAAAATAATGGTAACCACTGCCGATCTTCTGGAATGGCAGATCTCGTTGATAAGCCCGTAATTGTGTGTGATCGTAACCAATCGCACTTGGCATTCCGGACCACTGGTGTTATGTCATATGCCGAGCAGCATACATATGACCAGCAAACCAGTTATGCAAATTAAGCGTGGTGTGTATAAATATTGACACAATGGCCTGTTTGCCAAAAATACTCTTAAATATACGTGCTCAACTTAAATGAACTCATTTGCATTAAGCATAAGCAAATTATAAGCAGCCTCACAAGTTGTATTTGGGTAGTTATTAATTTGTAATTCTAGCAAGACTCATGGTTATCCGAAATTTACACATTATGACAGCTTAATTGCTGCTTACAACAGCCGGGGGTAAGAATTGTGATTGAAGACGCGATTCGAGCGCAGAAAATGTTGGCCTTGAACAAAAGCTCTGCCGTCAAACAAATTTGACAGCGCACAGCTGGCGGGAAAGAAACAGACAAGCAAACAGACATACAAGCAACATGCTCAGATAAAGCCACAAATCACAAATCCCAAATCACAAACAATGAAAGCCATTCACATCAAGATGGCTCACTGAGAATTTCTGTACACAATAAACTTATGCCCGATTAGAGAGCCAATCGAGGCAAGAAAGAAGGCACTAGTCGAGGGAAGCCGACTAGCATATACTCTCTACCCAAATCATTACACATCATATCTCATGCACGTCATATGAAAACTGTGCTTATACATGCACGTCATATGAAAACTGTGCTTATACTCGGCGAAGGTGTTTACATATATTTATATTTACAGTATGTCAAGAAAGTGGTTAGACACTGGAAAAAATGTATATTTTCTAACATCTTTTACAAAAAAAAAAGTATTTCACTATTGACTTTTATTTTTTTCTAAATTTTCTATATATTTAAGCATACATACATATATATCTTTAAAATTGATTGATTTCTATCGGTAATCACTTTTGATCGATATTGGAAAAACGGAAGCAGTTATCGATAATTAAAATAAACTAAATCTAAATAGTAAACGAGGGCTTACATTACAAATTAATCTCTAGCTCATATCATCTCTGAGATTGGCTTATTCAAATAGACAGAATGGATGAGGCCGTTGTGTCAAAGTAATTTATACAATTATGAATGCTTAATACTGGGAGATGGGGAACATTTTGTTAGACAACTTCTTCTTTAAAAAAATGTCATTCTGACAGCATTGTTCTACTTCAAAACAAAAAATTTGTTGAATGCTGTAAGATCTACAGTTGATATAAGACAGCTTTAATAAAAAATTCTTTAATAATGAAACGCATTTTTGTCTAACTTCTTTTACATCAAATGTAATTATAGATTTGTCTTTGCACTTAAACTTAAAGTATTTTGTGGGACAATTGTTTTGTGCGCACAGCATTTTACAATTGGCTTTAATCGACTTCAATTCAAAGGCGCAACTGCATGTAGACAGCATCTGCAGCAATAAAGTCAACAGAAACAATTGCAAACTCAGCAAGAATAAAATTAAAGTTGCTCGGAAACGTCCTCAGTTAAAACAAGACATCAAGACGTTAAGAAAACTTGGCAATTACATTTGTCACGACAGACGACGAAGTCGAACAGCAAAAATGCTGTAAAGAGTCAACATTTTCCGCAAGTTATAGTAAAGTGCACCGCGTACACACAGCTTGCCAAGAAAGGTTTTGGACACAGGAAAAAATTCATATTTTTTCATTTATTTTGCAAAAAAAAAAAATATTTTATAATTGACTTTAATTATACCCTGAAGCCATTAAAAGGGTATAATGGTTTTGTGCAAATGTATGTAACAGGCAGAAGAAAGCATCTCCGACCCCATAAAGAATATATATATTCTTGATCACGGTCAACAGTCGAGTCGATATCAGAGACTATAAGAGCTAGAGTCTTCAAATTTGGAATATAGGTTCTCGAATACACGGCGCAGATCAAGTTTACTTTATTTTATCGATAACTGCCTCCGATTCTCGAATATCTATGCATTTCGATTTTAAAAAGCAATAAATGCTACAATTTTAATGGCAGAATCTTCTAATTTATACAGAATATATGCCTATTATGAATCAACTACCAACATTTGTAATGATCGGATAGGAAAGACCCAAGTTATAGTCGAAAGTCTATTCTCATATTGATACATGTCGGCAGAGCGCACTTGCAGACCTGCTCACATTTAGGTGCAAGTCTTTATAGGGAAATAATTTTATAATATATTTAACCGAGCTCACTCGACTACAGCATTTTTATTTGTTTTTCGACTGAGCTGTGGAGTTCTTAAAACTAGTTATAACAACAATTAACAAGATTCATTAGCTTAAACCATTTTTAAATTTACAAAACGAAATTGGTCCATTCAATTGAATATCAACAAAATGTTTGGGCAACCTATGATTATGATTTTACAATTCCCTCTTCAGTCGATCCCGTTAGAAATGAGTGGTTTTTTATCTTGCCTTTCGTTATGACCATGGCAAACATATTCTGTTGAAATTTGTCTGTGCAGATTATTGCTGCGTAAAAAAGTAATGATTTGAAAAATAACATTAGTGGTATCGCCGTTGCTATATTTACAAATGTCAGATTGGGAAAACGCTAGATCTTCTGTTAAATTAGTGTCTGGACTCCTTGGTGGATTGTCCACATTTGTAAAGGTGCCACTTCCGAGCAAATAACCTGAAAATCTTCAAGGCAGACACATCAAATGGACGTCCTCGAAAAAAATAGACTGAGATTAACGGATATTATAAAGTATAGTGGAAGGTAATCCCCAAAATTGCAATCAGATCGATTGCAGGATATCTTAGGAAATCAGATAATATAATTATATTAATCACTATTCATCAAGCAAGCTCAAATGCCAACTTATTATTTTTAGCGTTACATCATTTGTTGCATAGCGCAGCAGATATTCCATGTACCCACATGTGTGTAGAGCATCGTGTACCGTGCCCTTCAGCTGTCTTAGTCATTAAGTGAGTATATATTTCTTTTTATGCGGGCACTAAATTATGCAAAATTAAATAAGATCGATTAATTTCAATAGAGCATATTGCTGCTGGTGTAATTAAGTAATTAATAATATGTGCAAGTGTTTACCAAATGACTCGAGCAAAAAATGAATAAAATTGAAATATTTTTTTATATTTTTTTCCCCATCAACATCATGTGTGTGTAACATAATTATCCATGTTATCAATAAGATGTCTCGTAAAAAGGGATCGACTTGAATATACCCTGCAAGCAACCATAACTAAAATACTTACAAGTTTTTTGGATATAATTAAGGTATTCAAATGACTTTCCGTATGATTAAAATCACGGACAACATGTGATCATTTTTGTACTCAATTTGAAAAGTTTAATCAAGATAAAGTTATTGATTGGTGTATTATTCCTACCACTTTACACAACAGAACACGCACTACTTCCAAAGCGATTCTACGGCAACAACTACAATGTATGTACATATATGAAAGGGAGCTCATCCTGACTTTCAATTTGAGCCCAGACACCTTTCGCAATATTACGACAAATTACATTATGATTATGACAAATTACAGGCCGATTCTAGAATATTAAATAAACACAACTGAACACTAACAATCACTTTTACGCGTCTCAATTGAATGTGCGGCTGATTAGATTGCAACTCGCAACTAACAGGGGCAAGTAAAGCCAGAGACAGAAATTATTCCTAGCTTTTATTACCTGATTTGGCAGAGTTAAATATTCTCTCTCGCGTTCTTTTCACCTGCTCTCAATGCATTCATTTCATTCGCAATATTCGTGTATATTTGTAAATTGTGTTTTACAATTTGCATTCAAAGCAGCAGCAGCATATTTTATGCATTTGTTAAATTCTGCTTAGTTTTGCTCTGTCTGCTTGCAGTTTTGTTACTGTTCACTTTGAATTAACTTTGCCATCAGTTGTTTTTCATTCATGCTAATTCTGAGTGAAGCAAGTAAGAATGCTATAATTCAGAGAACTTGAGCACAAGTCCTTCAGCTTTTTGTTAATATTTGCTCAATTTCCTGATACCATTTTCATCGAGTTTGAATGGGTGCAGGCTATAATTGAATAAATTGAAATATAAGATGAATTTGTGATTCGTACTTACTTATCAAACTTCCAAATTATTTGATTATTTGTATATACTTGAACGGTACGATGATAAATATCCAAAACAATATATTTCCAAAATTTCATAATACCCTTTTAACAATTTTATTTGGATATAGGGTATAAAGCATTTATTTTCAGTGAATCTAATCAATTTCAATTATTATCTGAAATTTAAGTCGGAAGCAAAATTGAATATGCATTATTTACTAGCGTTAAATATGTATATCCATACTGATCAATAATATGAATAATAAAACAGTGTTCACACTACACAAATGTTAAATTCCATGTGCCTTAAAGCTTAATGCTGCGTGTGTGCAAAATATGTATTTAGATGATTAAGTACCTCAAGTGGTTGACCCACTTTCATACACATGGTACATGTACAAATGTACATATGTAGTGACTGATACATAGCACACAGAAGTGTTCGTACAGCTGAACATCAAATCAACATCAATGTCAATATTGAGCTAAATCCAGGCTGGCAAGCGGGCTAAGTCTGACAATGCTAGCAATAAGCGCAATGAGCACGTAGCAGCCGCCTGTCATCGTTTGCGATACAACAACGGGACTGGGAGCAACGGAGGAGTCGAGTCAAGCGGAGCGGAGCGGACACAGCGCAGTGCATGGATGCGAACTGAAACAATACGAGAGCAAGTATCAAACAAAGTAGCGCCGACGTCGGCGTCATCATTTATCAAACGCATACACACACAAAGGTCAAGTAAAGTGTTATCCTTGGCGCTATCAAGGCAAACGTGGCAAAAGCAGCTGGCAGCTGTTCCCTTTTGATGCCAGTCGCCTCCTTTTCATATATTTTGAACACAGACACAGGCCTTGGGTAGACATACATACATACATCCATCCATACATCCATCTATACATACATCCATCTATACATACTCGTACATACATACTCACATGCAGACGCAGATTGACGGTTTGTGAAAATCATTATCGAAATGAAAATATCAATGTGTTTTGAAAATGTTATGGCCTGGCTGGCTGCCATGCTGTGACGCCGCTTGCTTTTTCTTTTGAAACTCGATAATCATCGGCAGCAACGACAATGACAGCAACTGAAAACATCATTAATAAAAGGCTCCATATCAACGCTTTTTGAACTCCCCTTCACCCTTCGCCCTACCCCTCTTCATGGCCCCAGTGCTTGTTACTCTAAGCTGCGAGTTTCGATTATTATACATATATTCGCTTTAGATATGGCCATTTTCACTCAGACAAAGATACGACGTAGTAAACAGCGACAAATTGCAGCAATTTCTCTTGACTCCACTTTGAATTTTGTATACAGCCGCTAATTTTAATTATTTTAGGAATATATCAAAAATAAGAAAGTGTTTTTTTTATGAACAAATTTGCGTTAATTAAAGGGAATTTTTCATTTATTTAATTTGAATGTCTAGTTGGAGGACAGTTCGCCAAATAGCTTATACTCATCTTCATAAATATCAATATTGGATGCAAACTTCTCTCAATTTGGCCGAATCATAAGGGCCAAAAATAACGTAGTTTTTTACGTTAATATTCCCAAATATATTTTTGCAACATTTTTTTTTTACTTGATTTATATATTAGAGACTGATTACTGATCATATGAGCTCAAGTCGTATGTGGTCGCAACCTGTACCATAGTTAGTAAGTTACTCAGCTTTTTTTGTTCAAATATTTAATTGCAAATTTTTTATTTAATTTTTTTTTCGTCGGTGTTTTGTTTTTGATGCCGCTGTTGTTTTGCATTTGATAATTGTATATATATTAAATTGTATGAATTAACATTAAATTTGTTCTTGGTTCACATACATTGTCAACATATTTGTGTGTATTTTGTTGCTGTTCATAATATTTCCCTACGACGTTGTTGTAATTGTACTTATGTATGTAAAATTCTTGCAGAATAAATACCATTTGTTTTCAATTTCAATAATTTGCACAGTAATTTAATATGTAATACAATAATATTTATTATATATGCAATAATTTTTGTTTATACATAAAAATAGATTCTGTAGCACAAAAGTTTTTTTCATGGTTTTTATTGTTGTTGCTTGTATGTTTTCAGACACACCACAGCAAAGAGCGAGAGGCAAACAGCTGCTGTTCTTGCTGCTTTCTATAAAGCAGAGGCATATGGCAAAAAGTTGTTAAAATTTCAAAAAAAAAATACAAAAAAAATATTTAGTTTTGGTTAAGTTGACGGCGAGGCTTAGACTTTTATTCTGACCTAATTTACAAAAGTACAAGCATTTTCGCCTCTCGCTCTTTTAACTGTTTGCAATTGAATGGAGAATTAAGCAATTTGTTGATTTCGAAACTTGTACACAAAATAATAATTAATTAATTAAAAATAAAATTGAATCAGAAGCAAGGAGATTTTGCCGAGTGTATGTAAATTGTCTTTCTATATCAATATCAATATATGTATGCTTTCGAAAAGCTCTTGATTTTATTCCACATTATATCATCGATATCTTCTGATTACTCGCTTGCGCTTGACTTTTCACATTAAATAATTTCAGTAAGTGCATCTTTAAGTTAAAAATTGCTTAGTAAAATTAGTTTGTAATAGTACTTATACATTTTTTTATTTTATTTTTTAATAATTTATGCATTCTTTCGTTATACTATATTAATTAAACGCGTGTGGCTTTGAGCGAGAAAAAAATAAGAATGTGACTAAATTAAAATCAAAAGTTTTGTTTTTTAAATAATTACAAAGAACAAAATGCGCAACATTACAGCTTTTATTTATCGCTTAAATACTTATTTCAACTTTGCTAATGTTTTTTCACGCTGCATTTGCTGTTGTTGTACTTTGTTATTATGAAACTCTTTAGTTTTCTTTAGGACGCCAAAAAAAAAATGTATAACAAATAATACATAAAGCCAGTGTGTGCATGTGTGTGTAATTAATTAATATAATTAAAATGTACGTACAAGCTATCAACTACAGTTAGATGTAAGAGCGTGTGTGTGTGTGTGTGTGTGTCTTTAAGCATTTGCCAAACCCTCTGGGCACTTCGGGCATGTACTTTTGAAATCTCTCAGTGCGCAACAGCATTGCACAGTTGACACATTACAAATTACATTTTAAAAATTACATAATTTAAATAATTTATTATACACATGTGTGGCCCCAAACTACGCTAATACCAAACGAAAAAATCATTCATTCATATATATATATATATATATACATATATATATATATGCACATCAATTTATAGATTAAGCACATTCATGTAGGAAAAAAGGAGCATGACAAGGACGCGCTGTCCCCTCTCCCAAGTTATTCACTTTGCTTGCTTAAGCTTAGCCATTTTATAATGTGTGTGTGTATTTTGTCTTATATTTTTTTTTTTCATATATGTATATGTTTATTTATGTAATCCGTAACCTACACAATGCCCAGAACTCATAAAATGCTAATTCACTGAACAGTGCACACGTTCAATTCAACATTTCATTTCTTTTCCAATTTCAATCCGGTATTCAGAGTGACTTTGGCTAAACAGGTGGCAATGCTTTTCAGCTCATTGAATGTGCAGCAGCGTTGCCAGACGTTTAGTTTTGCGAATTAACCAAGGAAGCGCTTAAAATAAGAGCCGAATTTAAAGTACATGCATTGTTTTGTTGAATTTATGAGTCTGTGCATTTGAGTTGTTTTTTTTCTTTCGATTTTTCGATTTAAATTACTATGTGTGCTGCTACTCTTGGTATTACTGTTGCTTCTGCTGCTGCTGCTCTTCTTGTTGGTTGTTGTTGTTGTTGCTGCTGCTGCTGTTGTTGTTGCTGTTTTTGTTGTTGTTGTCGTGTGGGAAATATGCATTCAACACTCACTTTGGGACAGATCGATATCCTTTTTAACGCTGCGCGCCAAACGATCCAGCTCAGCAGCCGCATCGGAGCGCACGGCCAGCTTTTCGGCGGTCATGAGTGAATCGGTGCCATTGGAAGTGCGCGGCGTGGACATGCCGCCGCCGCCACCTGGACTGCCGGGACCAGCCGGTCCACCAGCTGGTCCACCCGACTTTTTGTGTAGCAATGAATTGAAGAAGTTGGCCAGCACACCTTCACTGCCGGGTGCGGCGGGCGTCAGCTTGGGATCAATCTGCAATTGAATAGTAGAAGTTAACGGAAACGTTAACAAATGCAATATCCTCTTTCCGTGTGGCACTCACCTTTTTGGGTGAACTTTGACCGGCACTGCCGGGTGTGCGTGGTCCACTCTTGTTGCCGCCAGCACTGGCTCCTTGCGAGCGTAACGGCGACTCTCCGCGCACCTGGCCGCCCTGCTTGAGTATCTCCTGCTGGCGTGCCAGGAATGCCTGCTCGTCCTCCGTCTGAACCTCGGTTTCGCGATTGGAAACGGCCTGCAACGCAATCGGTATAAGTTGAAAAAGTTACGCGTCACAAATGTTATGCGTCATCTTCAAAATATTTCGATACGCACCTTTCGTGTGGGCGGCGCCTTGATGATATCTGTGTAATGATTCTCAGCCTTAACCGCATGCATGTTCTCATACAGAATACTTATTTTCTTGAGGCTATCCCAACCCGCCGGACTGCAATGAAATAAAGTGTTAGTTAGCAGATCCACATATAAATGTGTGAGCATAAAATACGAACATGAGCACCGCATCCTTTTCAACGACAAGCGCTGGCGTACGGAATGGTAGACCATAAATTCGATGCGTTAGATATTTGTAAAGGAGATCACAGTTTTTGTCCTCTTTCACACTCGTGTAGAAGAGCGAGGTGCCATGCCGCAGACAAAAGTTTCGTATCCATTGCTGTATGAAATCGAAATGCTCATCGCGATACTCATACTCCTTTTCCAGTGTTGACATGTAGTCCGTCTGTGTGTTGGCAAATTTTTAAATTTGTAGATTTGTAAATCAAAATTAGTAAAATCATTCATCATCATCATGCATCATTCTAAATATTGTATGCTCACCTTTGTGACGACCACAACAATGTCCAGGCCCAGATTTGTAATTAGTGCGTCCTCTGTCAGCGGCAACAGATCATCCTCATCGATGGAAGTGTTGTGCATGGTGCGTTTAACCGGCGAACCGGGATCCATATCATCGCCGACCTCACAGTAGCTTTGCCACGTCGTTGCTAAACGCTGGCGTGCCGCCTCCTTCTCTTTGGGATCTAACTGCAGGCTCTCAATGTGCTGGGCAAGCACCTTGATCCATTGGTTGAGCTGCTCGAGCCAGCCCCATGGCTGTGTCATCGAGACTGTTAGTATGACGAGGGTGTGTGCATAGTTCGTTTCGTTTAGCGCATAGTGCAGCAGATTTGTGTGTCCTGGATCGCCATCCAGCACCCAAACGCTTAGGCGCGTCATGTCTGCAACAAATTGATAATGATAATAATAATAATAATAATTACTTTATACTGTAATTGTTGCACTTACCGTCTCTGTACTCGTCCTTGACATCAATGTAAGCATACTCGAGGCCAGATCCCTTCTTCGGATCCTCCACGCCCTGCAGCTTCGCAATGAGCGTCGTCTTACCAGTGGCATTATCGCCTAATACTAGTACAGATTTGTTTGACGGTAACTTTGTGCTGCCTTGTGTTTGTACTTCATTCAATATCGCTGACCTGCAACGGGAAATGCAAATAAATGTGTCCATAATGGGTCAGTTCCGTTGGCTAACCAATTTTTGCAATGTACATTAAAGCTGCCCCAATTTCATGTCACCACCAGTAACCAACTCAATTCAATTCAACTCAACCCGACACGTATACGTAACCATATCCATTCAGCAAGCCATGCCATAAGCCACAATTCTGCATACTGTGTCATGCCACGCAATCAAACTAATTGCATCCCTTTGCAAACTATTTATGAGCCGGACCTTGTTTCATTTTCGTATTGCTCCCTCTCGCTCTCTCGCTCTATAAAAGCTATAATATATATATATTATGTACTATAATATTTATGTATATATTCGAATAAGGATGTTTAGTTGGACAGGGCTCTTCAATTAGATCCAATTAAATACATTTCGATTGAAAAGTGACCAGCTAACTGCCCAACTGGCTGATTCGCCGACTCGCTAATTCACCCACTTATATATTTGCCGTATAGCAGGCCAACTGACTGACTGACTAACTGACTGACTGGCTGACTGACTGACTAACTGACTGACTGACTGACTGACTGACTGACTGACTGCTTGACTAAAGGAATAACATGCAAATGACGTTTACTTCACTGGGGAACTGGACGCGGCAGCTCCTTCGTGCCAAAAACTGCGAACTGCGAATATCGATTGCCCGCTTTCTGACTTTTAGTTTTTAACTATTCGCTTCTATTGTGTGTTCAAAGGTATTGTTCAACAGTGCACAGTGGTTCGCAATGTATAAACAAAACAACAAGATAACAAACACAAAAGGTATCCAAATTAAAGTGCGTCGCATAAAGCAAGGTGTTGCTCAGTAATGCAAATTCACAATATTTGAACAACTTCATGGCATATTTCTTGCATATATACAAAGTTCATGCAGAACAACTCGCAATAATCGGACTGTCAGCAGTAGTTAATATTTGAATATTTCCGTTCCGATGAAGCGCAAAATGTAGTTCAACTTATGCGCCACTATGCGCTAGACAAGCTTTCTCGCTAAGGGTGGCGGGCAACAACAACCTAAGCCGAGCCGCCAACAGTGGCCACCACTCCACTCCCCCTCACCCCCTGGTTGCCTGCTGGTTGGCATGGTGCACGAAAGGCCCAAACGAAAAGTACATCTGCATATACATATTTTTTCAAGCATGTGAAAGTTTGCCTGCCTGACTGCCAGCCTGCCTGCGTGGCCAGAACGGCAGTAAGATATAGACGGCAAACAGTTGGCCAGGTTAATAGAACTGGCATTGCCAATGCGCACTTTGCCAGCGCCACGGCGTAAATAGTGGATCGACCACTACAGACAAGAGAGACCCGGCGGAGACCCGGTTGAGAGTGCGATTCAGTTCAGTTGTTAAGAGTCAGCGGTCAGGATGAGTGTGTTGCTGAAGCGACGGTCGCGCAGCGAAACGCGTCCAATGCAAATCAAACAGGAGTTGCCCACAAAGAAGCAGCAGGAGCAGAAGTCGCACAAAGAGCACAGCAAGGAACAGCAGCAGCTGGCAACCAGCATGGACAACAATGGCAGCGGCTTACAAACTCTGCAGCGCCAGAGCCTGGGCATGGGCAGACGCAAAACCTCGGCCGAGCTGATTAGCGAGGCAAAACTCTATCTGGGGGATCTGACAACGGCAACGGCAGCGGCAACCGCATCTATGACAGCGGCAGGCGGTGCTCGCCTGGTCAGCACACGTCGTCCCATAACGCCACGTGAGCCTGGACGCGTGCTCTATGGCAAGGTGTCTTTGGCAGGTCGTCCGCCCAGCGCCTTCTCGTAAGTAAACTCAACCTTTACATGCACTTTCAGTCCAAGTCCCCCACACATCCGCATCCCTGCTCTCGTTTCCATAGCATGCGCTATCTGCAGATTGAGAATCACAAGTCGCTGACGCCATCGACACCCGTGGGAAATGCTGAGCTGCTTGTGAATCGTCGTGCTCTGGATGGGAAGTTGGCTCCGCCGCGTCAATTGCCATCGTTACAAGCAACAAAAGCAGCAGGTGGAGCTGGCGCTGGAGTGGGAGTGGGCACAACGCCACCCACACGAAATGGGGCACTGCTTGGCCAGTGCAGCTCGGAGACGCTCATCGAGATGCTGAAGCAGCATGCGGGTCTCAAGGATTGCAGTGCCGAGACCGTTCAGCACATCAATGCTGTAAGTGCAACCAGCCAGAAATCATAATCATCGCTTCATCCTGCATTCCGCATTCGTTTCCCAGATCCTTCTCGAGCTATATACGCGTGTGCGCAAACAGGAGCGTAACTTTAAGCGCGCCTTCATCCTGGGCGGTCTTTATGGCCTGGTCGAGTGCACGTCGCCGCGTGTCCTTTTGGCTGTAGCACGTGTCGTCCTTGCGGTATGTATTGCGATTTCAAATCTATCGATTTATCGACAGACTAGACGACAAACATGTATATTGGTTTCTTCCGACGATTTGCATTTCATCAGCAAACCAAGCAAATTATGTTTCCATATTTAACCAACTATGGACACATTTTTAATTGGATAGGTTTGTGTTTGTGTTTAGAAAGCAAATGCACATCGATATCATTGATATTAATTTGGAATACGATTGGTAATCGGTTCTTAAGTTTCAATCATTTAGAAATTGGACATATTTAAAATGAATTTCAACTCAAGCTGGCAAACACCTGAGCTAAATATTAATAGTTTGATCTAGTGCAGATTGGGCATATTCAGTTGTTGGTCATTTATCTATTAATCGATTTTATCGATAATTCGACAGCTTCGCGTGACAGGCAGCAATTTGACCGGCGCCTGCAAGCTAATCTTCAAGGTTGCTCGCCACGAGCAGCACGACGGACTCTTCCATGAGAACGATGTACTCGAACTACTGATCGATGGCCTGGGTCGTGCCTCACCGCTGGACGATCCGGAGGCATGCATTTATGCGTATGGCTGCATTCGATTCCTCACTGCCAGCAGCGCCCAGGAACGCGATGATGCACTCAATCGCAATTGGGCCGTCGGCTTTGAGGAGCCACTGACGCCGCCGGCAGCAAGCACAACGATCACAGCAGCAACAGCTGTTGCACCAGCAACAACACCCACAACAACGAAGCTGAATGGCCAACAGACGCTTGTGGCGCGTCTGGCACGTCACGGCGCCGTCGAACTGATGATCCTCCATTTGCAAATGCTAAACGAGGCGGGCGCCACAAGACGCCTCATCGGTCCGCCACTGCACACACTCTATCAGCTGTCGGCGGCGTTGCGCGCCTTGGCCGATGTAGCCCAGCAGCAGCAGCAGCAGCAACAATTGCAACTGCAACTGCAGCTCGCCTGTCCGCATCTGATACGCGCCGCCGAGATCGCCATGGGTGAACTGGAGGTGCAGGCCAATGTGGTGCGCACCCTGAGGTAAGCGCAGTGAAGCAGTGAGCAAACCACAAATCAAATTGTAATCATCAATTGTTTTCATATTAAGTGTGCTGTCCGAGGATCCGGAATGCTGCGAATCCTTGTTGAACTATGCGGCACGCATTGGTCTGCTCCTAGGCCCTTACTCCAACGGTGGCCCCTGCAGCGAACGTCTGCTGGCCGTGCTCAGCCGCCTGGGCTATATGCTCGGCAACATTCTCGCCAAGCACGAGTCGGCACGTGTCCAGGTGAGTGTGACGCAACACAGATAAATCCACACATACAAATCTATATCTATATCTGTATCTATATCTGTATCTATATGCGGCAACTGCAGTACTATCACAACGATGTGGCCATGGAGTATCTGCTGAATGTGCTGCAGCAGCTAAGCGAACGTCAAACGGCCAGCGAACCGGCGCTGCTGGATGCCCAAATCAAGCTGATCCGTGTCGTGGCCAATATGAGTGTCAATGCCGAGGTGGGCGCTGCTCTGGGCAATGTGCATGCTCTGGGCGCTGTCCTGTTGCGCCTGCTACAGAGTGCAGTGAGGGCGCTGGACACTGTGCAAGAGAGCGCACAGCCTGCTGCTGCTGAGCGGCTGGAATTGTTGCATGCAACGCTGGGCGCTTTGCACAATTTGTGCTTTTACCAGGACAATCAAGCGACAGTAGCATCATCACCATCATCACTAATACCATCGCCAGCACCAGCCGCTGGATCGCTGCAGAGTTCGATTGCCGAGCTGACGACGGCGTTGGCCAGCGCATTGGAGCAGTGTGCGGCGACGTCTGTGTCCACCAAGGTGGAGCTGGCCCGTGTCCTTGGCAATCTGACGCGCAACGAGGTGGCACGTCGGTGCTTCTGCGCTGCCGGCGGATTGCCGCTGATGGTGCAACAACTGACGCGGCAGGCGAGCGGACAGGACTATGAGCTGCGCACCTGCGCCATCGGTGTGCTGGTCAATCTGCTGGGCGATGGTGAGCAGAGGGCACCGTTTCTCCAGCTACGCGGCGCTGAGCTGCTGGCGCTGCTGTTGCGCGGCGCACTGGAGCAGGAGGATTGGTTTCTGGCCAACATCGTGTGTCAGGCGTTGTGGAATCTTCTAATTGATACACACTGCGCCACGGCACTTGGTCGCACCGGCAGCATTCTGGACGAGATCAGTGATCTGCTTGCCGATTATTTAGACGAAGAGCGTTTGCCCACCGGCGATGACACGGAGACAGAGGCGGATGCGGATGCGGAGACGGAAAAGGAGAGTCCACAGCAAGAGCCGAATGAGGAATCGGAGGCTGATGGGGCCCAAGATGCCTTGTGGGAGGACTTTGCGCTGGTTGCCACCGATCTATTGGAGCGCATACAAAACAATTTCGAGAAACAGCAGCAGCAGCAGCCGCAACAAGGGACACAATTCGATAACGGAGATGACAACGATAACGACGATGTATTTATCGAGAAATTGTAGAACATTCATATATCCTAACGAATACATAAATATATACATACAAATATATACATAATTATAAATATATATATAAATATATCTATATATATACGCCAATATGAGTAGACGATTATCATTAACTGATTCACAAGCAAGTTCCGACAACAAATATAAATCAAGGTTTTTGAAAGAAAACTAAATACATACTAACAATGTGCATAGAAATAGAAGCAAAATCAATCGATAACCGATAGCCGATTGCCCAGAACTAAGCAGCAACGTGCTGAAGACATCTACATAAAACGAAATCAAAAGCAGATTTTGCTGTAAATAGGTGTACATAGCAATATGCAATAATCTGTTTCCAATTGGAAATTGATCTGCGCCGCAGCCGTTCTGCACATGCGCGCCACCTGACGGTCGCCTATCAACGTCAACGTACACACAGGCACATACTTGGGCGATGACAACATCGCCTACAAACACACAACTCGGCAACAATGCGTTCATTGGGAAATGCTAATTCCAATTGGATTGTCAACTGACCACATCAAGTTGAATTATCGATAGCTCAGCTTAGAGTGTGCACATATACATTATGTCTGTGTATGTATATGTATATATATACAGGTATATATAAAACATAATAAAAACTTATTAAGCAAAAGGTGCTCGCTGCCGACTGCGCAGCCGGCGACGCTGCCCTCAATTTTAGCTGTTTCATGAATCATCATCGGCAGGTCTGCTCAGTCGCTCTCGCTCTATCTCGCTCTCGCACACGCACACTATGCAGATTATAATTGTTGTTTTAGCATTTAGTTTGTGTTTATGCCACAAATTCATTAAATCAGCGCACAAGAGAAAATTTAACAGAAAAAAAGCTGTATGTGTGTGTGTGTGAGCCAAACGTAGTTTGAGGTTAGGCGAGCGTCGTACAAAATGACAACATGCATTTATATTGGACAGCGGCAGAAAATCAGCTGCTTTTTGTGCCCAACTATTTGTTGTGGGCCGTTCGGTGGGTGTGGCGAGTAAGTAGCACCTGCCTGCACCCGGCACGCTGCACACCAAGCAATGGCTAAGTGCGACAGAAAGAGAAAGAGAGAGAGCGAGTGAGAGAGAAGAGGCAGTAAAAGCGAGATGGCAGTAACTAAAAATTATTGCAAACGTCAGCTAAAGAAAGTCGATAGATGGCCAAAAGCAGCTGTTTTTTTTTTGCTTCTTTTTCTTCTTCTTTTGTTTGCTCCGTTATATGTTCTCATATACTTTCGTATATAGTTGGGTCAGCTCGTCAACACTAGTAACTCACCAGAGGTTCTCCTTATCGGCGGCGGCATCCTTCTTCTTGTTTGTCGTAAAGGATGATGTCAGCGCATTGCTGCCCGTCATTGTTTGCGTGCCGCTGTCCAATGCCATTGCTCCAGGCGACCTCTTTCTCTTCTTGCCCGCTGTGTTTGCTGCTCTCCTCTTACTTGTTCCTTGCTCCTTGTACCCTGTCCTTTGGCCAGTTGGGCGCCAGCTGCTGCGGGATGCACACGAAAAGCGTTAGCCAAACACACACACACACACAATTCTAATAAGAAAAACAAAAACAACAACAGAGTTGCATTGAACTTGGGCAAGCAGCCCAGCAGCAGAGGCAGAAGCAGCAGAAATAGCAACGGCTGCAGTTGCAAGGTGTCTGCTTCCTCTAAAAACGCCCGTTTTGTTTGCGTTTTTAGTTACGCTGCGCTTTGAGGGAATGCCAAAGGCTAGATGGCAGTTCAGATTGTGTATCAGATTATTAATCATATGCATATATTTCATTGTTACATCCATCTTGGTCGGTGCGCAGCATGTTACGCAGCTCAGCTCAGCTGCTGCAGCCAATTCGCTGCTCCTCTTCTTCTGTTGCTGTACTGCTGCTACTGCTGCTGCTGCTCTGTGTGAATAGCGATTGAACAGTTTGCAATTTGCAAAATTTCTTGTCGTTTGCTTTTGCTTTTGTTTTTTCATTTCGTTTCGTTTCTTTGCATTTCTTTCTTTCTTTCTACATACTGCAGCTTTTCGTCGATTTATTTTTGTACACTCAGCTTGCAGATGTGATCCGTGGCACTGAATCTGAAGTTTAGTGTAAAAATTGCTGCATCTGATGCTCGTTATTTGGTTTTGAGTTATTATTGTTTCAAAATAATAACAAAACAAAAAATATACGCCCGATACTGTGATGATGAATTTTTCGCTGAAATAATACAACGAAACTAGACAGTGTGTACACACTGCGTTATAATGGACAAAATTGGTTTAAGTGTTGGTAAACGGCAAACATGTGTGCGATAGTCATTGTGGCAACACTAATCACATTGTTGCTTTCGCTGTTGAATTATTATTCACTGTGTGGCAACCTTGGTTCCCGTTACAACAACGACAACAGCAACAACAACAACAACACAGAATTCAACAAACATCAACTAAAATCTCACTACTACTTTCAGTGGATTTGATAAATACCGACCTAAACAATACTCATTTAGTGTAAAAAGCTAGGAAAATGCATGCGTCTGTGTTCATCATAACTGTGATATTCGCTACATCGCCAGCAACGCGCCACAAACAAACGGTATGCCAAGTTTGCTGCTCATTTAAGTCTTTAGCAACACACACACATGCATATGGGCAAACCACGCACTTGCGCAAACTCTGTGGGTCAGTGTGAGTGTGTGTGTGTGTGTGTGGCTGCGTAATGCATTTAAAATCGTTTCGTAAACAGATAACGTTTACCGTCATTCACAGCGCTGCTCCGTCGCTGCTATCAGTGCCGATCGCGAGGCGAATTGGGCAGCTGCAAGGATCCGTTCACCTTCAACGCCACCGATGTCGACAAGGAGCCGGGCCTCACCGCCATACCCTGCGCCAGTGGCTGGTGTGGCAAAGTGATCGAGGGTGGTGGCACCTATGCCCTCGACGGTAAGTGCGAGCGAGATACCAGACCATTTACCGCTATTTATTTTCAATTGGAATTCATGCCAAAAAAATGATTCTCTCTTTTTTTTAATTATATCACTTGCGTTTCATGTTATTTGCTACATTTCAATTTATAATTATCAATTTCAATTTAAACATAACTTTCCTCAAATTGTATATTTTGCTTTATTTTTCATTTTTGGTTGACCCATATGCGAAATGGAATGTTATAAAAACATGCGACATGATATCTCCCAACCCTGATATACGATATACGAATATATATGTATTTGTGTATATATATCGTTGTCCCATCCAGACTATGATCTCGCCATACAGCGGATGTGTGTGCAGCGCGGACCGGACGACAACATGGATCGATGCGCGGACACAATCTACAATTATAAGAAAGTTTACATGTGTTTCTGCCAGGGTGATCTCTGCAATGGAGCCCAAGGCCATGGGACGCATCAGCGACTGGTGCTGCTAACATTCGCTATCTTGGTGCCTTCAAAATGGTTTATTCATTTGTAAAATGTATTTGAAAAGAAATGCTTGGCATTATTGGGAGTGGCAATTAAATCTATACAAATATCAAACTAAAATTAGTTTATTTGGCATTTTCTATGGCATCGCGTTGAGCATTAAGTTGGCGGACGCATATGGGGCACACGTTATGTAGGTAGGAGAGACCACCGTCCAGATGGCACTCCTGATGGAACGGCTGGACGCAGCGATCGCAGACATATTTGAGGCCCTCGCGCTTTCTGCAGTCATTGCATCTTAGCTGCGATTCAAGTGGCAGATCGAAAGGAAATTTTGGAAATGCGTCCGACTGCTCCTCTCGTAATATGCGTTCTGTTTCCACATTCTTGGCCAGTTGAATCTGGTCGTAGATGTGCGCCTCCACCTCTACCATGTGCTGCAATAGAGAAGGTCTGCAGCGATTAGGATCGCCAGATGGATGGATAAGGAAGGATTTTAAATTGACGTACGGCTTGCACCTCGCCAATGACAGGATGAATTGTTATAATGCGCTCAGTTTTTTTATTCATGCGCATTTGACGGGTGACTCGGGTAGTGGTGCTGCTGCTGCTGCTGCCGCTGCTCTGTCCATCGATGACATACGATGTCTTCGTCATTCCCAGATTGGCCATGAACATCTCTTGGGCGAGCGGCTCCGACAGGACGCGTGGAAACCAACCCACCCAGTCAAAGTTTTGCTCTGGTTTATCCGTCTCCCATTTGGACTCATCCGTGAACTCCTGCTTGGACCTCTTGGACTTCTTATGCTTCTTATCTTTCCCCATTTCAGACTCAACCTATTTTTTTGTTTTCGAGCTGATAATTGCGACAATTTCCGAAATTGTTGGGTCGCTTGGATTTATTGCTTTTTTATTTCATTTGTCACTTGTCAAATGTCATTTGCCTCAAATCCAACGACTCAGAACTGAAAAAAAAAAGAGGCAGGACTGCCAGACTATCAAAATTTAGTACTTCACTAATCGAGGCTGCCCAAGTTACAGAGAATGGGACAAATATGACTTCGCAAATATGAAGCCTATTAGAAACACATCCCTGGCCAGAGAGATGGCCAACTTCCTCGTCCCTCGGATATCCTCATACGAACCCGAAACGTAACTAACTATCGGAGCACGGATATAGCCTTTCTATCCGATAGTCAGGCAGTAAATGCTGTTAGGGGGACGAAGATAACGTCAAGCGTAGTCCGTGAAGTACGAGCCAAGCTAGACCAACTCGGGACGCATAATAGTCCCGGGTCATAAGGATATAGTAGCGAACGGAGCGACCGATGAGAGCAGAGAGAGAATGGCAGAGAGGCCTAGTAAGACACACAATTCGACTGCAATTTAAGACATCGGAGCTGGGCCGAGGCAGCAAGCCTCCGGCATTTAAGCAGGTAATTACCATGGCTGATCACATACCAGAAAATTGTACGTTGAGTCTCAGTTGAACTTTTGGTTGGTTTTACAAATAAAGCGAATACATTTAGGAATATGAACAAAATTGCGAATGCGTCTGTGGACTCTCTTGATGCTTGTCAGTTATATTTGCAATGTTCTATTGCATTTTCAAATTTCACAAAATTAACTATCGTTAGGTTAGGATATTTCGGCTGTCAGCCCTGGGCTGACACACCGTGACAGGCCATATTTGGCCCGTTGTGATTGAACTATTGTTAATGTTTGCGGACTTTTAAGAATGATTAGAGAACCATGTACATATTTACAACTTAATATATCAATATTACAGTTTATTTAATTGAAACACATTTACATAGTATCGATTGCCTTATGCGTGTAGATTGGTATGGAAAACAAAGCGATCTAAAGTTCACTAATTAAGAATACAACAAATATACATATGAATCGTCTACATACGTATATAAGTCATGCCTTGCAACGGAATCAATATATGTGTACATAAATACAAGTATTTATTTAGTTAATCCGTTGTCAAATACTTAAATACATATCTAAATATGTAAATTTAAGTTTTTTTTTGTAATAAAAATACGCACAAAAAAAGAAAAGAAAAAAAAAGAAAATAAATGGAAATGGAAATTAGACAACATATGCATGTCCAAACATATGCTGGATGCAACGATCAGGATGCAATGAACAACAAAAAAGCGGAGACAGACAACTGCCGCCATTCTCAATATATGTATGTAAAACAACTTTCTTAGCAACTAGTTTGAAACACATTTAGCTCCTCGGCCCAACGATAACGGCAGAATGGACAACGGCCGCGACTGCACCATTGCCTTCACATCCTTGTGGCAATCCAGATTGATATTGGCCATGGCAGCACGGGCATCTCATCTGCGATCAAAAAAATAAATCAGTTATTAACATATTAGTTAAATATATTAAACTTGGATGCCAATCGAATTCCGATCAATATAAGCCTACAATAATCGAATCCCAATTGAATTGTATGCCGCAATCGATGAGTGCCTGCGAACGGCTTCACTTAAGATGTGATGAGTCAGACTGAGTCACACAGAATAGAGAGTGGCAACTTACCAGCATGCAGCACGCGTCAATCACTTCTGCTTGCCAACGTCCGGCATATGGCAAATGGCCAACGGATCGGACAACTTCTCCGGCGTTTTGCTTTTGCTCTTGCGATTCGCAGCAGCGGCTGCTGCCTTGTGCGCGTTCTTTGCCTGCAGCCGTTTGTCTTGCAGATGTGATCCGAGGCACTGAATCTGAAGTTTAGTGTAAAAATTGCTGCATTCGATGCTCGTTATTTGGTTTTGAGTTATTATTGTTTCAAAATAATATCAAATGATGCATTTTTCGCTGAAATAATACGACACTAGACAGTGTGTACACACTGCGTTATAATGGACAAAATTGGTTTCAGTGCTGGTAAACGACAAACAGGTGTGCGATAGTCATTGTGGCAACACTAATCACATTGTTGCTTTCGCTGCTGAATTATTATTCACTGTGTGGCAACCTTGGTTCCCGTTACAACAACAACAACAGCAACAACAACAACAACACAGAATTCAACAAACATCAACTAAAATCTCACTACTACTTTCAGTGGATTTGATAAATACCGACCTAAACAATACTCATTTAGTGTAAAAAGCTAGGAAAATGCATGCGTCTGTGTTCATCATAACTGTGATATTCGCTACATCGCCAGCAACGCGCCACAAACAAACGGTATGCCAAGTTTGCTGCTCATTTAAGTCTTTAGCAACACACACACATGCATATGGGCAAACCACGCACTTGCGCAAACTCTGTGGGTCAGTGTGAGTGTGTGTGTGTGTGTGTGGCTGCGTAATGCATTTAAAATCGTTTCGTAAACAGATAACGTTTACCGTCATTCACAGCGCTGCTCCGTCGCTGCTATCAGTGCCGATCGCGAGGCGAATTGGGCAGCTGCAAGGATCCGTTCACCTTCAACGCCACCGATGTCGACAAGGAGCCGGGCCTCACCGCCATACCCTGCGCCAGTGGCTGGTGTGGCAAAGTGATCGAGGGTGGTGGCACCTATGCCCTCGACGGTAAGTGCGAGCGAGATACCAGACCATTTACCGCTATTTATTTTCAATTGGAATTCATGCCAAAAAAATGATTCTCTCTTTTTTTTTAATTATATCACTTGCGTTTCATGTTATTTGCTACATTTCAATTTATAATTATCAATTTCAATTTAAACATAACTTTCCTCAAATTGTATATTTTGCTTTATTTTTCATTTTTGGTTGACCCATATGCGAAATGGAATGTTATAAAAACATGCGACATGATATCTCCCAACCCTGATATACGATATACGAATATATATGTATTTGTGTATATATATCGTTGTCCCATCCAGACTATGATCTCGCCATACAGCGGATGTGTGTGCAGCGCGGACCGGACGACAACATGGATCGATGCGCGGACACAATCTACAATTATAAGAAAGTTTACATGTGTTTCTGCCAGGGTGATCTCTGCAATGGAGCCCAAGGCCATGGGACGCATCAGCGACTGGTGCTGCTAACATTCGCTATCTTGGTGCCTTCAAAATGGTTTATTCATTTGTAAAATGTATTTGAAAAGAAATGCTTGGCATTATTGGGAGTGGCAATTAAATCTATACAAATATCAAACTAAAATTAGTTTATTTGGCATTTTCTATGGCATCGCGTTGAGCATTAAGTTGGCGAACGCATATGGGGCACACGTTATGTAGGTAGGAGAGACCACCGTCCAGATGGCACTCCTGATGGAACGGCTGGACGCAGCGATCGCAGACATATTTGAGGCCCTCGCGCTTTCTGCAGTCATTGCATCTTAGCTGCGATTCAAGTGGCAGATCGAAAGGAAATTTTGGAAATGCGTCCGACTGCTCCTCTCGTAATATGCGTTCTGTTTCCACATTCTTGGCCAGTTGAATCTGGTCGTAGATGTGCGCCTCCACCTCTACCATGTGCTGCAATAGAGAAGGTCTGCAGCGATTAGGATCGCCAGATGGATGGATAAGGAAGGATTTTAAATTGACGTACGGCTTGCACCTCGCCAATGACAGGATGAATTGTTATAATGCGCTCAGTTTTTTTATTCATGCGCATTTGACGGGTGACTCGGGTAGTGGTGCTGCTGCTGCTGCTGCCGCTGCTCTGTCCATCGATGACATACGATGTCTTCGTCATTCCCAGATTGGCCATGAACATCTCTTGGGCGAGCGGCTCCGACAGGACGCGTGGAAACCAACCCACCCAGTCAAAGTTTTGCTCTGGTTTATCCGTCTCCCATTTGGACTCATCCGTGAACTCCTGCTTGGACCTCTTGGACTTCTTATGCTTCTTATCTTTCCCCATTTCAGACTCAACCTATTTTTTTGTTTTCGAGCTGATAATTGCGACAATTTCCGAAATTGTTGGGTCGCTTGGATTTATTGCTTTTTTATTTCATTTGTCACTTGTCAAATGTCATTTGCCTCAAATCCAACGACTCAGAACTGAAAAAAAAAAGAGGCAGGACTGCCAGACTATCAAAATTTAGTACTTCACTAATCGAGGCTGCCCAAGTTACAGAGAATGGGACAAATATGACTTCGCAAATATGAAGCCTATTAGAAACACATCCCTGGCCAGAGAGATGGCCAACTTCCTCGTCCCTCGGATATCCTCATACGAACCCGAAACGTAACTAACTATCGGAGCACGGATATAGCCTTTCTATCCGATAGTCAGGCAGTAAATGCTGTTAGGGGGACGAAGATAACGTCAAGCGTAGTCCGTGAAGTACGAGCCAAGCTACACCAACTCGGGACGAATAATAGTCCCGGGTCAAAAGGATATAGTAGTGAACGGAGCGACCGATGAGAGCAGAGAGAGAATGGCAGAGAGGCCTAGTAAGACACACAATTCGACTGCAATTTAAGACATCGGAGCTGGGCCGAGGCAGCAAGCCTCCGGCATTTAAGCAGGTAATTACCATGGCTGATCACATACCAGAAAATTGTACGTTGAGTCTCAGTTGAACTTTTGGTTGGTTTTACAAATAAAGCGAATACATTTAGGAATATGAACAAAATTGCGAATGCGTCTGTGGACTCTCTTGATGCTTGTCAGTTATATTTGCAATGTTCTATTGCATTTTCAAATTTCACAAAATTAACTATCGTTAGGTTAGGATATTTCGGCTGTCAGCCCTGGGCTGACACACCGTGACAGGCCATATTTGGCCCGTTGTGATTGAACTATTGTTAATGTTTGCGGACTTTTAAGAATGATTAGAGAACCATGTACATATTTACAACTTAATATATCAATATTACAGTTTATTTAATTGAAACACATTTACATAGTATCGATTGCCTTATGCGTGTAGATTGGTATGGAAAACAAAGCGATCTAAAGTTCACTAATTAAGAATACAACAAATATACATATGAATCGTCTACATACGTATATAAGTCATGCCTTGCAACGGAATCAATATATGTGTACATAAATACAAGTATTTATTTAGTTAATCCGTTGTCAAATACTTAAATACATATCTAAATATGTAAATTTAAGTTTTTTTTTTGTAATAAAAATACGCACAAAAAAAGAAAAGAAAAAAAAAGAAAATAAATGGAAATGGAAATTAGACAACATATGCATGTCCAAACATATGCTGGATGCAACGATCAGGATGCAATGAACAACAAAAAAGCGGAGACAGACAACTGCCGCCATTCTCAATATATGTATGTAAAACAACTTTCTTAGCAACTAGTTTGAAACACATTTAGCTCCTCGGCCCAACGATAACGGCAGAATGGACAACGGCCGCGACTGCACCATTGCCTTCACATCCTTGTGGCAATCCAGATTGATATTGGCCATGGCAGCACGGGCATCTCATCTGCGATCAAAAAAATAAATCAGTTATTAACATATTAGTTAAATATATTAAACTTGGATGCCAATCGAATTCCGATCAATATAAGCCTACAATAATCGAATCCCAATTGAATTGTATGCCGCAATCGATGAGTGCCTGCGAACGGCTTCACTTAAGATGTGATGAGTCGGACTGAGTCACACAGAATAGAGAGTGGCAACTTACCAGCATGCAGCACGCGTCAATCACTTCTGCTTGCCAACGTCCGGCATATGGCAAATGGCCAACGGATCGGACAACTTCTCCGGCGTTTTGCTTTTGCTCTTGCGATTCGCAGCAGCGGCTGCTGCCTTGTGCGCCTTCTTTGCCTGCAGCCGTTTGTTTTTGGGCGACAATAGAAACTCGGGCTTGTTCTTCAGCTTCTTGTGACGCACCGCATCGATGGTCGCCAGCTGCTGGCCATAGTGAAAGTCCACGCCACTCGCATTCTGTACGGTGCGACGCTTACGCTTCGAGTGACGCTGGCACAGTTTCTTCACCATGTCATGGGTGTATAGTCCGAACAGGCCAAGGAAATTCTCCTGTCCGTATTCCAAGGGCATGACACGCGACTCTCGGGGCTCATCGCGCCACTGTGCGGCCGACGCGCACAGACGCTGCTGTTCCAGCTCCAGCTCCATTTCCAGCTCCTGGTGCAGATCATCCGACGAGCCCGATGAAACACCACCTGGCGTGGACTTCGCCTGCTGCTGCTGCTGTGTTGCCAGCAGTTTCGGCAGAGGAGGCGGTGGCTGCGGTGGCGGTGGTGTCATTTTCCGTACAGTTCCCTGCACATTGCGAGTCTTATACGGTTTGGCTGCCGGTGCCGGTGCCGGAACCGTTGCCACTGTTGGCTTTCTCGGTGGCATCGCTGTGCTAGGAGCTTTAGCTGCTGCCTGCAATGCTTTGCCCAGTTTGCTCTTAAGCGATGCATTGCTGTTCAGCTGTTTTAATGTTGTTGTTTCTGCTGCTGCTGTTGTTGCTGCTGTTGTTGTTTTGCTGTTAAGCATCGCCATTTTTGGACTGGGCAGCTCGAGAGCATCCTCCTCATCGATTTGGCGCGGTTGCTGTTTGGTTTTGCGAGCACGCCGCAGCGCCTGCTGCAAATTCATGCGACTCTGGGCGACTTCCACAAAGTCTATCGTCAGCGGCGGTGGCGTCAGAGTCCTCTGCACCTTTGCACCAACGGGCGGCAAAGCTGAAATGCGTTTGATGGCCGACTGCTTGGCATCCGAACGTGGCGCTCGTTGTTGCCGGGCAGCTGCGGCAGTTGCTGCCGCCACCAGCGACGAGCGCGTCGGCGATGTTGCTGCTGTTGATGTTGGTGGCTTTGGTGGCTGCTGTTGTGTGGCATTTGACTTTTGTGGCGGCACTTTGGCGCTCTGAGTGCCACGCGACGCTAGAAGCGAGTTCGGCTGCTGCTGCCGCACCATTTTTCCGGTCAACACCTTCTTTAGCAGTGGCATGGGCCGTGGACGTGGCATTGGCCGTGGCGGTGGCGGTGGTGGACCCATCATCATCAACATTGTGGGATCATCGGATTTAATGATGCTTTCTGCCTGCTCATCGAGTTGCTGCCGCAGCTTTTGCTCGGACAACGGATCGCTGCTGGTGGCGCCTTGCGCCATATTGCAACTGTTTTTCCTGTTGCCGCTTGACGGTGTTGCCTTGACGGTTTTGGCATTGACGAGCATCAGGTTCACATTGTCGTCAAGCTCGCTGAGCTTGAGCGGCTCGATGCCAGCATCGTCCTGCGAAATGAGAAAATGCTTGCGTATGAGCATGTCCTCGGTGTCGCGGGACAACACCGACTGCGGGCAGACAATGTAGTTGGCATCGCTAATTAAAGGCACTATCAGGCTGGAGATGTAGGCGTTGCCCACGTCAGGTACAGTCCGAATGTTGTTCTCCTCCAGCTTCTTGTAGAACGCGTCCAGATGCTCGTCCAGCCGCAACATTAGAAACTGCTGTTCCGCATTTATCTCGTGCACCTCCATCTGCAGCTCATCGAGGATGCGACGCATCTGGTCCGGATCCTGCAAATGCAATTCATTTGCAATTAATTCAAATTCATATTCCTTAATATTGCCTCCACTTCATGTTTTTATACGCATGCATATGTATATATATATATATATATATATAGTTAAATATATTTATGAGTCTATATTTGTTCACATGACCAAGTGCAATAAAACAACAACAATAACAACAACAGCAACAAACCAATAATGGAAAACCCGATTTGGACGCGTGTCGTGTTTTTTCTATTTTTTTTTTTTTTTAGCGCACGTGTGGCTAATTTGCGTGGAACACAAATTGATTGAATTTATTGAAGTTTCATAAATGCATTCCAAAACTAAAACTGAGCAGGGGGAATTTAGTAAATAAAGTGTTACATACATACAATATGTACGTATGTACAGATGTGTATGTATATATATATATATATGTTCGGATACCCTTTATTACCAAAACTTTAATGGGCAGTCTGACAAAAATAAAACGTTCAAAATAAGCCAATCATAAAACCATTAAACGTTGGACATGGATATGGAAAAGTGGGCATGTAGCATGTATAAATGAATATTTTTCCGTGAGGTTTGCCAAGTGGTATTTATTATCCATTGAGCATGGACACTTTAATTCTACTCTAATCGCGAAAAAAATATTAAAAAATAGAGCAGAGACTCGAGAAGTGAAGATGGGCACGTACTAGGTGGATTTGGCTGGAGCTGCGGAGCTGAAGAGTCGTGTGGAGGTGTGCACATTGTGCTCTAGTTGGAGTTGGCAACCCTGCCAATCTAGCATATGGGCTCTGTTGCGTTTACCATTTGCAACACACACACTTTGTATGCGACAAACAAAGAAAATATATATTTATATATATATACATGTATATAACTTCGATATATGTGCGTAATGCAGGAAGTAGGCTAAGATTGGGAGACAATTAATGTGCACTTACCGCATCGGCCTGCTCCTTGAACACATCGGATACCAGCTGAAAGAAGAAAGTGAAGGTTTGTGCGGAGGGGAGTGGCGGAGGGGAGGGAAAAACGGAGATCGCGTTTAGTCAACGGATGTCAGAAAATGGATTTTTGTTGCTCTCTCTCGCTCTCTTTGTGAGACTTTTGCTGATTTTTACTCACCGTGTGCACATTGAGAAAGTCGCGCATTGCACGCTGGCAGTAGATAATGTCATTCTTCAGGTCCAACGGCAGCACGTAACACTTTTCTATGTAGTACTTGAACAATGAGGAGGAGTCCTTGGAAACATCGTTGCTGTTTCTGCTGGTACTGCTGATGTTGCTGCTGTTGTTGTTGCTGCTGTTGTTGGTGTTGGTATTTGTGGTGGCACTCATCTTGGTATCGAATTTGGTCGAGATTCGTTATTTAAGGCATACGCGCTGCACAGATACACCTCCTGCACTCCGTTTGTGGGGTTCACCGCTTTTCTTTTCTTTTTTTTATGTGTTTTTTTCTTCTTTTTTGTACTGTTTTTAAGCAGAATGAGCGGAGCGATTTCAAAATTCGCTACCTGCTCGCAGTGAAGTCGGCGCAGGCAGCAACAACAAGGCGACGAAGCAACAACAGGCAGCAGGAAGCTGCAAAATATACCAATTAAATTGATGTTCATATCGATGAATCGATATTTTTTTTTTAGCAAAATACGGTCTGGCAGCCTTGACAGACCAACTATCGCGATATCGATACTCTGGCATTTGTCTTGGACTCAGTTTTCAGTGTTTCGGGCCAAAGCCAAACATTTTCATTTTCATATTTTCGCATTAATAAATAAAATAGCAAATAGATAGAACAAAATTGACTGTCTGCTAAAGTTGCTTCTAGTGCACACACACCAAACAAAAGCAAATAAATAATTTTTTACAAAATATATACACAGATATAAATACGAATTAAGTTCAAAGTGCATCAAAGATTTCTATCATTCTACAAATTATTAACGTTGCAACTCCCAAAATGTGTAAGTCCAAAAGCACAGCGAGCTCCACAAAATGCCAATAACAATTTGACGATATCATGTAAACATAACAATAATTGCAAATTCAGCAGCATCAGCATCACAAGTAGTCAAAGAATTAGCGACGGGCCAAGAAAAATGTTGCTGTTGTTGCAGTTGCTTTTGGTTGTGGTGCAGGCATCGCTTAACAATTCCGTTCCCGTTTCGTTTTCATATGCGGACAGCGAGCAGCTTGCTGACGCCCCAATACGGCAGCAACGAAAGTAAAATTTCACCCAAATCCGTTTGTTTTTGCTGGTTTGCTCTTTGCCTTCGAGCCCCTCCTGCTCTCCGCTCCCTGCTCCACCACTCGCTCAAAAGCTGAGCAAACAAGTTTTTGTCGTTGCCTCTGCTCTTTCTTTCTTTCTTTTGCTTTAACCCTTTGGGTTGGTTTGTTTAGATTCGATCCAGCTAAAAAAAAAACAGCGCCGGCTTGCGCGAAAGTTTAAAACGGTTTATTGTGCCCCCTCCCCCTCTCGCACTCTCTCTGTTACAACCCGATCATCCATCAACTGTGTGCCGTTAAACTGGTTAAATTACCCGCTGCATCATCCATCGCTTCAGTCGTCGCTGTGGCTTTTGTTGTTGTTGTTGCTCAACTCATTGCAGTCGCAGATAAAAATAATCTTGCAAATATTTCTACTGTAATTTACTTAAATTTTACTGCCCCCAGGCAGATGTGTGTTTAAACATACACACATACATATGTCTTATCAGTAGTTGTTTGTTCTAGCTATTTTTGCTCGTCTCACATTTCCAGTGTTACCAACTGTTTTCTTTTATTACCTACACACGCACACACACACAAAACATGCATATGCATAAAAAATTGCAACGGTTCTCGAGAAATCGCACAATGCATTTGTGTTGGTTGTGGAGTGGTGGCGTCATTCTCTGTTCTGACTCTGTGTCCGATTTTATTAACAAGGCAAACAGCAAAAAGTGTACACTCATTGCTCAAAGTGCACCGCACACACACATACAGTTGATGAGTTGCAGCTTGTGGCTGGCGCTGCGCATAATTCTATTTGGACCTATGCGCAGCACGCAACTCTTTGTGCTTAGCATGCACCACGCCCACCAAAAGACAGCAACGCAATTCTCGATCAGCTTCCAAGTGCAACAGTTCCGAAATAAAGCTGTTTGCATATGCACATACTTCCGTGTGTGTGTGTATGTGTTGCATAAGTAGTAATCTTTTACATCAATTATCGATGAAACCTGCATTGATATTATAGAGCGATGTTCATTTAAATACTAAAAATAAAGGGTGCTTATCGATCGTTCTTACAAGAATACTAACTGAAATATGCATATTCTCTTATTAGAATTGTGAAATGGGTAAAGGGCCCAAGAGGAAAAATGGGGAAGGGTGCAGTAAAAGACAAGTCACGGGAACAAGATTACTGTTAGCTGCTACTAACTTAACTGTTTGTACATACAAAAATTGACAAAATAAATATCAGGCGTTTTGAGATAAGAATCTAAATATAATTTCCAAAATTACGAGATTGAAATTGATGCACAAGCGTATGTATTCAATGATCACCGTAAAGTAAATGTATAAGTATGTGTCTTAACGGCTCTTGTATCAGACCCTTATAATTTAATGCTGTATGTGCTTGCACACCAAATGATGCTCGAACAAGGGGCAGGGACAGGGGTAGTAGTAGCAGCAGCGGCTGCAATTCAAAATAATATGGGTACAGATGTTGGATGTTGCACGCATCGCACTACAAATACCGCTATACTTGCAGCTGACGATATTATCCCAGGTGGCGGCAATGGCAGCAACAACAACACCACCGATGGCAGCAATTTTGATGCGACGGAGAACGCCATCACGCCGGACCTGTTGAAGGAGTGGCGCAAGAGCTTCTACAGCGCCCCGAAGAATGTGCTGGCGCTGAACGTTTGCACCCGCGGCGATCCGTTCGATGTGTGCCTGTCGCGAAAGGCGCTGGAAACGACCAATCATGTGTTCAACTACAAGGTGGAAACGGAGGGCAAACCGGTCACCAATCAGCGCAGCTCCGGTCGCTGTTGGCTATTCGCGGCACTGAATTGCATACGCCTGCCATTCATGAAATATTACAATCTAGACGAGTTCGAGTTCTCGCAGGCGTTCCTCTTCTATTGGGACAAAATTGAGCGATGCAACTACTTTCTCAATAACATTGTGAAGACGGCGAAGCGTGGCGAGATGGTCGACGGGCGACTCGTCTCATTTCTGCTGCTCGATCCCACCTCGGATGGCGGCCAGTGGCACATGCTGGTCAACCTCATAACCAAACACGGTCTGATGCCAAAGAAATGCTTCCCGGAGAGCTATAGCTGCGAGTCCAGCATACGCCTAAATGCCATACTGAAGAGCAAGGTAAGCATATCATATCGCTCCACGCTCAATCAGACTTTACTTTACGCTCTTCTTATTCGATTTGTATTTGCAGCTGCGCGAATACGCGCGACATTTGCGAGAGCTGATGGAAAAGAAGGCCAGCGATAAGGAGATAACCTGCAAAATACAAGAGCAAATGGCTGAAATCTACAAGGTGGTCGGCATTTGCCTAGGCATACCCGACGAGACCTTCACCTGGGACTACTATGATAAATCGAAGAACTTTCAAAGTATTGGGCCCATCAGTTCGCTTGAGTTCTATGAGAGCTATGTGAAGCCGCATTTCAATGTCGAGGACAAAGTGTGCCTTGTCACCGATCCGCGTCCATCGAGCCGATACGATCAGGTCTATACCGTCGATTGTTTGGGCAACGTTGTTGGCGGCCGGCCGGTCCTGTACAACAATCAGAACGTTGATCTGCTACTGGCCATGGTCACGAAATCGCTGCAAGCTGGCGAAGCTGTCTGGTTTGGGTGTGAGGTTAGCAAGCGTTTTGCGTCCAAGCAGGGCATCGAGGATATGAATGTGTAAGTTCGATTAATAGTTTCCTGGCCAATATGAATACAAAATTACCCCATCCCTCATTGAATATAACAATATCTGTATAATCTGTATATCTGTCTCTTTCGTATGCGTGTGCATTTAGCCACAATTTCAAGTTGGTCTTCGACATCGATATACAAACAACACTCTCAAAGGCGGATCGTCTTATCTATGGTGAATCGGCTATGACGCACGCCATGGTTTTCACAGCAGTTTCTGTTGATGTGAGTCGATCAAAATTTGCTAATTGCCATGATTATTATTATGTAATCGTTTGCTTTTTCATTTGATGATGTGTAGAAAAACGGTGTGGCGAATAAGCTGCGTGTGGAGAACTCCTGGGGCGAGGATCGTGGCGAGAAAGGCTACCTGGTCATGTGCGCTGATTGGTTCAGGGAGTTTGGCTTTGAGGTTGTCATCGACAAGAAGTATGTGCCCGAGGATGTGATGCGCGTTTTCGACATGGATCCCATCGTCCTGCCCGCCTGGGATCCCATGGGCACGCTGGCGCAATAAAATGGTTATCATCCAAATTGAAAAGCTTTAGAAGAACGAAAATAACAATAACAACCAGTTAGCACTGCAAGCAATAATCCACAAATACTATAAATAATATGTTCACTTTCGGCGTTCATATAATTTAAAATTTTAGCCAGATTTTCTATATACATATAACTACTTCTGTTGTCTTTTTTTTTTTTTTTTTTTTTTTTGGTTGCCTATATTTATATATGCATATGTATAGGTGTATGTATACATAATTGGTCAATGTTCACTTCGGCTCAGCAAATAGTATGCATTATAATGGCTCACATCAGAACAAGGATAAGCAAAACACTTTATATATACATATATGCTTATGTACATATGTATATATATATATATAAATACACATACGTAAGTGTGACGTCAATTCTTTTGGTAGCATATTAATTAACCAACATATATATAATCCTTACATGCATAGAAACAAAAGTGCGTAGTTTAAGTAAGTTTGTTTGTTTATGGAGGCGACGATGAGAACGTTTTGCGTAATTTGGTGCCGACCAAGCGCAGTTCAACAAATTCATTTGATACGTATAAATACATACACACACACACACATACATATATATATATATATATATTTGTATATATATATACATATACATAAATAAATACATTCAATACAAATATAGAATATCCAAATTGTATATTTAGTATCTACGTAACTAGCAGTTTAACCATGAACAGTTCATTTTATACTTAAACTTAAACTTAGACAACAGCGATGAATTGCACTTTATAAGTTCTGGTGGCCAACAACCTTATAAAATGCAATACCTTTCGATCGGAATATAATCTCGATCTATACATAATGCTAGCCGCCCTGAGGACTACCATCCGTTGGCAATGTTCAGCCAATATTTCAATTTAACTGTCGCCCACGGCGCTCCTCATACTCGAACCGTAATCTCAGCCAAATGCCCAGACACATCCGCACTAGTCGCTGGTCGTGCTCCTTGTGCTTCATTGCGAACTGATACTGGGCGCGTATCAGTTGCTTGGCATGTCGCAGATGTCCACGTTGGATTAGGGATATGCTGTAGTAAAGCTTGCAGCGCGCCTGCAGAAACGGATCACCCAGACGCAGGCCAATATTTAGTTGTTGCAGCGAGATTTTTCCCGCCGTCTGAGCCTGTAAAATTTTCAAAGTTCCCAGTATAGACATATTAGTTAGTATTGTGCACTTCTTAGGTGGCACACTTACACATCGTTCAAACTGTTCGCCCAGTGCCGAGAAGCCTCCACCCAGAGTGGAGAGCCATGACATTAAATGTTCCACCTCGATGTGCTCCCATATTGTATGCGCCAGCATATCGGCCCACTTGTAGTCAATGGTGCCGCATTCGGGTGGATGCAGTGACAGCCACAATAGCTGGACTCCATGATCACACTGTAGTCGGCGACGCAGCACCTCCTGCTGCAGTAGCTCGCGCAACCAATAGTTGGCAGTTATGGCATCCAGTTGCAATCTCAGTCGGCGAACTGAACCATTCTGGCTAGTGCCGGTTTTGCTTGTCGGTTGGATCGGGCTTTGATCGTAGAAGTGGCGGCGTTGCCAATAATCGCACACGCACACAATTAGTGTCATGTTGTGTGTGGCGTGCGTGTTGCAGTTTGAAATAATGTCTCAGCTGAACACATTAAATACCCAGGGTTTCCAGCAAAAGTATTCTTCAAGCTCGATGTATCTTCGATGTTCGTTGCGCCAGCTGATTTGTAACAAGCTTTCGATTATGTGGCAACGCTTGCGATACTTCAATTCGATATATCGATAGCTTCTATTTGAATTAAAATAATTAGGGCAATCCCCCTACAAGTCTGAAAAAACCTGTAATGTAATTTATTAACTATTGCCAGAAATTTGAATTTCAAATTAGCAATACATCATTTAAATTTAATCTTCCTAATTTCGAAATATACGTAATATATATATATATATATATATATATATATTTTTTTTTTTTTAATAATGGTAATGGCAATTTAATACATATATATTTCGTTTTAATAAGGGTAATGGTTTACCCTCTTTTCTAAATCTTTATAAATAGATAAGGAGGAACATACATATATGTATTTTTGCTGATAAGTTCTACTCTATTTGGCTTATTTTACAACGGCAAGCGAGTTTGATAAGAAACGAACGCCGAATAATAGCAGTTGACGGTTCTTCGACGGTAACAACTGATGTTAGTTTATATCTGAGCTTCAGAAGGTCCACTTGTGCGGTGCGAATAACGACTCGAACATATATATATATCAATAAATAAATATATATATATATATATATCAACATATATCAAACTGATTGTGTCAAATTTTTCGATACTCAACATGAAATTCTATTTGTCGGTATTTGCTGCACTTGCCTTTTTGGCATACGTCAGTTGTGGTAAAGTTTTTTATTTGTTTTTATTGTTTTCACGGCTTTTATGAGTGCAAGTGTCTTATGTAAGAAGAGACCACATAAGTTCTTTATTTAATATATATACATTTTTTTTTTTAGTGAGTAACACATTATCTTATCTTATGTTAGAGGCTTTTTGCTTATCTACTGATAAGCATGGGCGATTCATATGTGTCAGTGTAAAATATTATTAAAATTGTTCAAACTTAACCGGGAAACACTTGTTTTACAAAATGTGTCCAAATGAATTACAGATGCACATCTGCTCCAAAGATATATATGCATATTTACAGAGAAAAAGATTTGTCTGACTAATTCACTTTATCACAAAAACGTGTATGTCTTACATATATGACTGACATATATGTATATGTATATATATAGTTCAGATAATATGTTTTAAGAGGAAATTAAGTATCATAGGCACACTTGATACTGGGACCAAGTAACGCGACCTGTAACGCTCTTATCGTAGGAACTGTTTTTAAAATGAGTCATGCAATTAGCGTTGCAAGTATCGTTTTCATACCTCAATAAATTCAGATTTATGAGGAAGTTGTGTGTCGTTTTTTTTTCAGTTGCTAATAAATATATTTTTGGAAGTGCTAATGAATATGACTGATTGACGCGTTTAAAATATGCATTAAGATAAGGTTTAATTCTATGCTTGTCAGCGCGGCATGAGTAACGAGCTCGGAAGTGACCCTCAGAATATTTGCTCGCCTCTGAACTAAATGCATGAAAGCCGAGTATAAAATAATACCAAATATAACTAAAAAGTTTAAAAATGAGTGACTAGTCCGTATAGAGCACACACACACGCAGACGCACACGGCTGGAGCATTAAACGACATTTTCATTTGGTTGGAATGCCATCGATTCGTAGTAGGTCGCTATGGACACACATACATACATACATATACACATACATACACACATACAAACATACATACATACATATAAACATTACACACATAAAATGGGGCTTATCGCTACACTTGATAAAGATTTATATAATGACAGTGATGTCAGTCATACTAAGGCACATATGGCACATTATATGCACTCGCCTTAAGAAGAATATTAAAATTTCATCAGTCATATTTTTTTGGCAAATATACACCTAAATAAATATGCAGAAACAAACTCGACAAATATTGGCACGATAAGAGCGCACATTTGAAATTACTTTCTCAATGTATCAAAGTGAACCACTTGAAATTTGTGTTAATTTAAGTTAAGTGAAAATTAGGTTAATTATTATACAAGATATAATATTTAACGTTTTTTGTGTTTTTTTATTTCCAGTAATTATTTTGCATGTGGTTTTTGATTTAAGCAGGTTCACATTCTGAGCGGTTTTATTATTTAAAGAAAAACATTTTTAACATTTTTTTTTTTGCTTTCGATAAGAATTTTTGTTTTATTCATTAGCAACAACAGCTATAGCTATGTTCATTTCTTCATTTATAACGAGGACAGATGTTTTTTTGTGTTTTTTATTAATTGTCTTTCTTGCTCATTTGCCGAAACTTAAGATGTACATACATACATGTATATTTTTAACAACTTGCCACTCAATGTTTGCAAGTGAAAATGAACTGGATGTTGCAAGCTAGATATGCATATACATAAACGGAAATTTAATTGATATATTTCTATCTGTTTGCATTACATTTGCAGAGTCGTGCGTGCAGTGCCACTCCAAATCTGATGCGCGCTGCGCCACAGACCCGCTCAACATAATGTCCAAAGACTGCGCCAACAACACAGTGTGCTACACACGCGTATTGGGTAAGTGTTTGGTAGATTGACAGGCTGTTGGTAGATGTGGACGACTTAAACTCTGTATTTTCTGTATTTTCGATTAGATGGGTATACGATTCGTGGATGTGCCAGCGAACTGGATAATGCCACATTGAAATCATGCAACAATGAGCTCGAGTGCCTGACCTGTACCTTCATGGATGGCTGCAATCGTCAGATTTTCCCACAGTACCGCCTTAAGTGCCTACAGTGCTCCGGCAACTCAATCAACTCAACGTGCGCAACCGAGAATCATGCCTACAGCAAAGTGTGCGAAACTTATCGTCTGGGTGACAAGTGCTTTATCCGCAACAGCAATCGTGTGGCCAACGGCTCCTTCCAGCGCGGTTGCCTAAGCAGCGCCCAGGCCAACAAGCAGTGTATTGCCGGTGGCAACTGCTACACCTGCGAGGGTCACGGCTGCAACGCTCTCCTGGCCAATGACACGCTTATCCCGATTGCACGCGACGGTGCCGCCACAGTGCTCCTATCGCTGGCCCTTCTGCTCGCCTGTGGTCTCGCCAATTTTGCGCTGTAGGTCACGTGAGCTGCCACTAGTTGCTAGTTGCTGGTTCCTAGTTGCTAGTTGCTAGTTGCTAGCTGCCGTTGGCTGTTGAGCATTTAACGACATTTTCATTTGGTATTTTCGATTTTTTTTTGTATGCTGTATTAGAAAGAACATTGTGCATTTGAATTTGTTTGCATATGTCTTAAATATAAATATATATATTTTAAATAAAATAAAACTCGACAAAACAACAAAACAAACCATACTTGAATGGTGAAATTATCGCGCCTTTGATCTGTAATAACAAAGATTTCCTTTTTCTAGTCTCGGCATTTTGCTGTAGTTTTTATGAGGTGCCATTGAGTTGGCCACTGCCTCAGAACTGACTGCCACTCTAACAGTTGACATTTGCTGCCAAGCGCAAACATCCTCTCTCTCTCTCTCTCTCTCTCTTTCACACACACACACACACACAGAGAGGCGAATGGAACCGGAAGCTCCGCCAATGGGGTGCATAAATTTATCAACGCCTTCAAACGAACGGCAGTCTCCCAATTCACTCTGAATGAGATAAATGCGGAAACAATTCTAAGGAGAGCATCCATCAAATACACACATACATGCATAGATACACATACATACATACAAGCATGCATCGTTACATACATATCTACAAATAAACTGAATTCAAGAACAATCCACATTGGCTTGGAAAACCAATATTCAAACACTTTGTTAAATATGCGCGATTAAGTTAGAAATTTTATTAGTTCCGTTCAGTGATGCACTTGAACATTTTAAAACCTCCGATTTATTATAGTCTTTAATTTATTTAATTGACGTTGTTTTAAATCATTTAATGTGTAACTTGAATCTTATCTTTATTTTACATTTTTATTTTTTTAATTGTTTTAAATTGTGGACTTTGCAAGCACATTAACACACTGAAGCAGTAGCTTAATCACATATACTTTTAAGACATCTTGAGCTTTGTATATATATATTTAAGTATCGTTGCAAAGATTTCACTATAAGTAAAAATAACATTAAAAATACAGGCGTTTTCCAATTTAGGCAAAACTTTTCCGTTTTCGTTTTTAGCAAAAATCTACCGTTTTCGTTTATATGTTCATTGGATTTGTCACAACTGGTGCTTTGAACTTCAGTTCGTTTTTTAAACAATCAGGTTAAGGCCACACAATACAAAAAAAAATAATTCCTGACAAGTTGTATATAAATATATTATTTCTACGCTGAGTGTCAGGCCAACTCAAGCGGATTTAGTTCAGTTCAGCTCAGTTGCAATTGGTATTTTCAAAATGCGCAAATTGCAGATTCAAGTGATGACCCGCGACGGTCAAAAGAACATCTATGAGACGGATCGCTTGCAGAATGTGGCTGACTTGAAGAAGCACATTGGCCGCAACATGAACGTGCCGATGGGATTCAGTAAGCTGACATATAAGGGCCGATTGCTCACCAACGACTGCATCCTCGAGGATGAGGGGGTGAAGAGCATGTCTACCCTGGAGTTATGCTGGCAGCCGTTGGTTCTGACGCCCCAGCAGTATAGCCAGAAGGAGCTGGAGCTGGACATGCTGGAACAGACAGGCAAGAAGAATGGCCACGACCGCATACCCAGTGGTGTCCGTTGCGAACGTGACCATGTGCGGGTCAAGCCGTCGCTTTGCTTGGGTGAGGTCAATCTAACCAATAGCACCTTGGGTCAGCAGTCGGACAGGCAGAAAGACGAGGAATGCATACCGGTTGATCTCAGCTCATCATCCTCAGATGAGGTGGACTTCCCGACCTATTGGTGCTGCACCAAGAGTGCCGTGAAGCAAAGTGGCAAGACCCTTGATATTAATGCGCTGCAGTGCGTCGACGCCGATGCTGATGTCGGTGTCGATGCGAATCAAAGAGAGGATGTTCAAAAACTGAATGATTGTTGCATCTGTGACCCGAATAATTCGGGCAACTTGCCCAGAAATGCTGATTTGATGCATGATATATTTTTATTTTAATTTTTTGTTTTGATTCGAATCACAAAATTGCATTCTGTAATCTGCAAAATTAAGTAATTAAAGGAATTGCATTTCTTTTCAATGAATTCCAAATTCTCGTTATGCCCATAATAAATATTAACCCGATATATATATGTACTTGATATTCAGTATATGTGTATTGTTAACGCTAAAAAGTTCCTGTAAATCGAATGAAAGTCGACAAATACAAGAAATTATTTTTATTTATCAGTTTTTGATGTTAATACTCATCCAAAATGTATATATTGTAGTATATATTATTTTACTATTATGGTGATATCCTTTAAATTGCAAACTATATATAAAAAGGAATTCGATGAGACAACTTTGGATTAGCCCCCATCGCAGGACTTATATGTAAGGCTACTTAGCCATGCAGACTGGAGTTAATCTGCCGATAGCTAAATTTTACAAACGTTCCTATAGTAGCTATGGCAAATGATATGATGGTCCGATATCGATGATCTTTTGTCCAAATGTGGGAAGCATTATTAAACGTGTATTAAGTGACTTTGGTTGGTTGGTTGGTTGGTTGGTTGATGTATATCTCTGTAAGCAAACAAGATTTTCCCAAAAACGCATCTTTAAACGAACAATTCTTATATTGGGTATATGTTATAGTGATCTGATCCGACATATGTATGTACTGTCTGCAGCAAAAGGGCGGATATATTCAAAGTTTCGTCAAGAAAGCTGTACGACTAAAGGCTTGGTGCGAATAGAGGTAGATAGACGGACGTGGCTAGATCGACTCGGCTAGTGATGCTGGTCAATAATATGATGACTTCATGAGGGTCATGCAAGTTCCTCTTGGGGTAATGTAAGCAACAAAATTAATAAGTTTGTGTGATACTAAAAAGTAGTTCATACGTTTTATCGGAGAGTCGGAATTGAGCTGTGTTCTGGTATCTAAGGCAATCTTGCATAGTCAATATATATTATTAAAAATAAAACATGCCTCAATGACTAAGGTGGTTCACCGCTGCTGCTAAGCAGAAGATACTGCCAAAGTATTGATACGCATTTGTTTTTGAATTGACTTGGACTATTGCTGTAACCCACTTCTTACATTGGTAATCTGATCGCAGCCTTCGATGCCGCAGCATCCAATTTTGCAAAGTAAAAAGATACAAATTAATACAGAGAAAGGAAGGGAGGTCCCGTTAGAGGTACAACAGAAGTTGTCCAACATAATAAGGTTCCTTGTTGTATACCCCATCATGATCCTTCATTCTTATTGATATTAACATTATTTTCTTTTGAATACTTTAGTCTGCAGCAAGTTACAATTTAATTTCTGAAGGCAACACCAATCTTTTGGAAGATTGTTGAGCCAACTAAAGGCAGCGAAACCTTGAAACAAACGAATTTATTATATACTGCCTAAGCATGCTTTTGAATCAGATTGGTACTTTGATAAATGTGTATTTTAGAATTGTTTGCAATTTGCATTTTGCAAAGAAAGGATGAATAAATTAAGGCAATTATAAAGTAATAACAATATGCCATAACTTAAAAAAACACACACACACACATTAAATATTTATGTACTCTGCTGCTGAGTTGGACTGTTTAGATCGATTCGATTCTGGCTCTGGTTCGAGTTCTGCTACTGTTTTTGTTTCTGGTACTTGTGATTGGAAAGAGGCAAACAAACCGCAATCCACTTAATTCAAAATAATTGTAAACAGCTTACAGAGAAACAACAGAGCACCCAAGCGGGCAATCTGAATCCTGGGCGTAACTGAATGCCAAGATTTATACATTTCTATGTGCATACATACATTCATATATATATGTATACATACGACTATATGTATGTATGTATGTATGTACATACATATGTATTCAACAAAAATGCAGAGGTAAATAAATAGAGTGAGTCGGGGGTTCAGGTATTACCCAGATGGCGGAGGGGAGGAATCAATTCAAAATTGAAACAATTTGGAGCAGCAATGGCGGCTGCTGCTGCATTTACCGTTAACTAAATGAGTGCGGCTGATGAAAAGCAGACACCAAATAAGCAAAGCAGACAACAAAAAAAGAAGAAGAAAATGTGGGCAACACAGTTCCCTAACACACTCAGACCTTTTGCCGCAGCAGCCTCCACACATCCCATCTACACGGACCATCTTCGACAATGGGTATCGGCTCGCATTTGCTTTGATCGCTGCAGCAGCACTCGCAGGCTAATGCTTATGGCTAACAGCCGCCATTTTTTTCTTTTCTTCTATCTTATGATCGAAGAGCAACAGCCAGCGAAATGTTAATGCCCCGCTGATGCCGCCGGTGCTCGGAGATCTGATCATGTTGGGCCGCTTTTATGGTTTATTTAGTGTCGAGGTTATGGCGCAATTTGTATTTATGGCCCTGCTGGCTATAGCCCAGCACTGCCACCACTACCACCGCCATGTGGTAGCAGTCCAATTAAAAGCATTTTCCAAATGAGGGCCATGTGAAGCGAGTGCTTCTGCAGAGCGATCACATCCAATGAGTCAGTACGCCCACTCAAGCGAAAGATCCTCAATTGAGAAGAACAATCGACCAGTTATGAGACGATGGGGGCGTGGTCTCTACGCTCACTCATCATCATCATTGCAAAGAGAGGAAGTACAGTGCGCACTGCTTCTATTGGACAAGTGTAAACTACGTTACGGTAGAGCAAGCTACTTATGCCTCCCGGAAACAGCTAAGCAATTTAACCTTGCTTCTAGGTAGCTATGCATATTTGAACAGATATGTTAATGCTGAGAAATATCACTCAATATTTCCCTTTAATCAACAATAGAATTTAATTAGATTAGTAGTCAGGACGTAGAAAGAAATTTATTAAATCTAATAATAGATATTATCTTAAGTCTCACGTGCAGTATACAATGTGTTCACTGTTTCTGATGCTCCGAGTTTTGCTGCCTGTTCACCCTACAACTTTCAATTGGCATATTTGTTCATGTTGGTCGGTACCCTGAACTCGACTACTTGCGACTAATCTGCGTCTCTGAGATAGTATTGCGTTTGCACATATGTAGATAAAACGTATATATATAAAAGAATTAAACAAAAATAAATTTTGTATTTTAATAATTTAAAAATTGGCTATAATGAAAATCTAGAAAAACTGGAACAATTTTCTATATTTGAGAAATAATTTATATTTTTCAGAAATATATATCTTGATAATAAAAAAAATATATATATATATATAGCTTGATAATAGAAAATATTTATAAGAAGTAGAAAAGCAAACTATTTTTAGAAAAAATCCTTCCTAAAATTCAGAAAATAGTAATGGAATGCGAACAATTTGTAGATGGTTCCAATCACCGTAAAAGAGTCCTGTTTTTTTTTTTCAACTAAATTACGAGAATTTATAAGCTATCTATTATGTTTGTACATAGATGCGAGGTCATAAAAGACTAATCTTTAATAATAATATTAAGAAACAAAGCAAAAAAAAAACCTCATGTCTGTGTTCACATATAAAAAAAAAACGGGAAATTGCTATATTTAAAAAATATATTCCCTGGAATTAAGAAACAACAAAAAAGAAATATATATAAAAAGCAGCAAACTGGTTAAAACATGAACAATTTATAGGATATTTCCTAATCTAGCCATGATATTGATCAGACAGAAAGAGTTGGTGGAGTAGCGCATCCAGGGACCCACAATGATTAAACTCCTCACTCATCGATGATCGCTGAGAAGCTGTGCTGCGATTGGCCACTCGTTGCGCACTTACACATAGGCGCACACATATTGGTACACACACACACACACGCGCACACACACACACACACACACACACATAGACACTGGCAGAGCTAAATTTGGATGCTGATGCGGCGGCTGGTCTCGCGACCATCTCAAGTGGCACAGCGATTGGTGAGCACCGCCGTCAGCGCCTGCAGCTTCATGATCCCAGGCAAAGCAAGCATCCATTGGGCGGGCGGGCGATGCGTGGCTTTCATTCCGCAGCCAAACTCTTGACAATACGGATGCGAGCGCGTGTGCAACGAACGGCAACCAGTGGAATTCAAATTTGAATTCGAGTCAAGTGGTAAAGTCGCGTATCGCGGGATCGCGGCTATACGAATCACGGCACACGGAACACGGATCACGGATCACGGATCGACATCATCAGTTCGCACTTGGCCGGAAGGTGGCAATTGAGAGAACTCAACGCTTCGAATTCGCAATACACATTAATAACAACTAGAAAATATACAACTATTAGGCGAGCTGCAGAGTGCATCATTCCATCAATCTTTCGCTCAATCAATTTGTTTTGTGTCAAGAAACAAGAGAATTGGCAGTCAACGCGATCAGACCATAAAACGCAAAACTCTAAAAATTAAGCGGCGAATCGAATTGAACAAAATAAACCACGGAACAAATAAAACAAACAAAAAATCGGTAAAAATATTTGAAAATTGCGGCGAGGTGTTGAAGCGATTGCAATTTTCTCTGTGTGTGTTTTTTTTTCTCGAATTCTTGTATTTTTTTGTTGTTCTGATTGACACACTGACAACTTGAACGGCAGCTACGATTTTTCAACACGTTCGCAGGCCTCGTTTGATTTTGTGTGCAGACCCGAACCGCCTATGCATTGTTGTTGCTATCTTAATTTTTTCCAGTGTACCCGTGTATATGTTTGTGTGTGTGTGTGAGTGCAATAATCAAATTTGACAACTGCGCGAAAAACTTTAGAGATCAAAACAAAGCAAGAAATGAATACCAAAAAGCCAAATAAATGATTCAGTAATTTTTCAAATAACGTGTTTATTTTCTTTTGTTTTTTTTTTTGTATTTTTGTTGAATACAATACAATACAATTATTTGGTCGCTTATTGGTCTCCGAAACAAGCATATATAGTTGATAATTCGCATCAGGTAAAGGTGCACAAATTGCACAAATGACACACATGATGGGTCCTACGGAATGCGCCAGTGCCATGGTGTCCACAATGCCGTTCCTGGACAATGGTCTAAATGGAAATCTGGCGGATTATGGCTGTTATGCAAATGACTATTGGACATCACCCTATACGACCGGCGGACTTAGTCCCATGAAACAAATTGAAGGTGAGTCGACTGACTGACATAAGAATAAAGTTTAAAAAACTATTATGAGTTTGAGTCTTGTAATGGGAATTTATCGTTAGTAATTTAAATTGAGCAATATCAGAGTGTTAGTCGAAATAAATATTTCTTATGTAATTTTCTCAATATTTAAAAAACATATTTGAAAAAATTGCTATCTTAGACACTCCATAGATAAAATACGCTTGTAGACCGAAAATTATTATGTTTGTACGTTTTAGTCACATTTTAATGATATATTTTCTGTTTCACGACTTGTTGTAAACTATATATTAAAATAGTTTGTATCAATACAATGTCAGAAAGGTTCTACGCCTAGTAACTTAACTCATATTATTCCCATGCCAATAATGATTTTTTTTTTTTGCCAAATGTGAGGGACTCATATTTTGTGAGCTTGATCTTAAAATCTTATTAAGTAGAAATTTTGAATAGGAGAACAAATCGTATCATCAATAGTTCCATGGTAGTAGCTATATACATAATATAGTTGTCCATTCAGGTCGGCTCCCTCGTGACCGGGTGACCGGAGAGACTTTAAAACTGTGGGAGTTTTAATAATAAACACAATAAAATTGGTACATGGCCACATCGACTCGGCTACTGATGATGATCGAGAATGTACATCGATCGGAGACGTCTCCTTCAATGCGTTGCAGACGTCACTACCAATTATACCCTCCACAGGGGTATGAACAAATAAAAACCACAAATATACAATAATAATAAAATTATAGGCAACAATTCAAATACCTCCCTATTGAAATTTTAGTTTGACAATTTTTTTATTAATAATATTAATTTTGTTGCTAGCAGCAAATCTATAGGTTTGCATAAATATTTGAAAAGACATGTTAATATATATATATAAAAAACACTTGTAATGAAAACTGAATGTTGCATAATTTAATCAAATTCACGAGATATATTTGAATATAATTTAAAATCATAGTTCAATAAAATAATAATAATATTTAACAATTTTAAAAATATCAACGACTCGTCAACTACTCGATACCTCTAAAGATATACATAATACTTCATACAGTTTTGGCTGCACTCCCGTATAAGTAACACCCGATCTTATATATTTATTTGTTAATGCATATATTTCTGCTCGAAGCCACAATCGAACCGAAAGACTAATTATTCAAAATTGTTGGTGCGTGGCGTTAAACAAGAATATAAACAAAGCTGACAATTAGCGCGAAAGTTCTTCGTCTTTGGTCTGACCTTTTTTTTATTGTTTGTATTTATATAGTTTTATCTATTTTTTTGCTTTTATTTATTTATTTATTTCTTTTTTGATGGTTGGGTTGGCGTGACAGAAAAACGATCATTTGTGCCAAATGCTAATTGATTTTAGAATTCATTCGTGAAGTTACTGCCGGCAAAATCACTGCGGGTCTGAAGCGAACCAGCTACAAAAAATTGTCTCATTAAGCGACAATTGATGGCGGTGCGCAAGAGACGTCGACGGCGACCTGTCATGGGTCATTGGCGGTGACTCCAAGCTGCACGTTGCATGCAAGCAAGCAAGCAAACGGAATGCAACTGCAACTTGCAAGCAACTTGCTACATGCAGCAATTAATTGCGAAATTGCTGCCGCGCCCAGGCCGAGGCCCAGGCCCAGTCCCAGTCCCAGGCTGTGGCGCCTCTCGCACACGTCCTACATAACCCGCCCTCTTGCCACCGCTCAAGGGCTGCCGCTGTGGCACTAAATTTAGCTGGCAACTCAATCAACAGCCGTTTCTGTGACGACTTTTATAATTGGATTGGCGTTGTTGTCGCTGGTTTTATATGCCGCTCATTATAGCCGTCGGATCCAATTTGTCGTGCGTGTGTCCTCAACACGCATCTCGCACTGCCCGTCCCGCCTGCCCGATCCTTGTGGCTTGCGCCTGCGCGACCTACTCCAGAGCCATCCATTTGATGTCTTGCTCTGTCGCATTTTAAATCAAATAAATCACAATATATACATATACGAGAATGCCGCTTTGCAAAATACCTCTAAGAACTGTTGACTAACACTCGCATCTAGTTCAAACGTATTCATTTGATTTATGTGCAACGCATTTCCGCTCATTTGTTTTGAGCATTTTTTGCAGCATATCACACCCAAAATACAGTTTTGAAACACATCAAATGTGTCAAAATGCTTGCAAATGTGTGTAAAATTTATTTATTATATTACATAGATACATATAAGTTATTCGTATTTAAAAGTTGGTATCTTGTGATTCCCCAAAATCCAGTTGCTAGACTCATTCGAAATGAATTAAATACAAATATTTCTATATGAAATATTACTCACACTGCTACAAATTACTACTAATAAAATGCTCAATATATTACAAATCTCAAATATCAGAGCAAATATACTTTTTCCAATTGACCTACGACTTAGTAGAAGCGACTTCTTGTATTAAATTGCTGTCTCCGACAAAGTTAGGTTATTTTACGGTGCTTTTTCGGCGGGATGAGTTGCAACTCCCATCTCAAAATCCGCATTGCCTGACCAATGCTTAGTATGAATCATCAGCACCTTTATAAATACATAAATATCATATTCTTTAGCAGGAAAGCTGAATCAATTCAGCCATTCGCTACTTTCAGAAATTTGTTAACTTATTTAACCAGAAAAATGAGTTTAAGGCGTAAACCATTTTCTGGCAGTTTCCAGGAACCGAAAGCATTTGGAATATTTAAATTAGCTAATGAAAACCTTTTAGATTTTTATGGACTGATGAAACATCATTAGAAGGAATCCATTTAAAAAATGCAGCAGCAAATTATAAGTTTGTATATGTATAATTATGTAGACTATTTCAGAACTGGTTAATTGTTATTTGCTAGCGGATTTCTCGCTTAGATCATATCTATAATATGTCTAACAATAAGTTTGATTGAGCTGGTTATTAGCAAGCAAATAAGTAAACCCAACTCCGCTCGGGCCTCATTCACAGCTTGCATACAAACGGCTGGCAAGGATCGAGCCTCTTACAAGCCACTTGAACAGATCGACGCCAAGCTGGCGGACATTGATGCACAGAGCACAGGTAGCAATACGAGCAGCACGAGCAGCAGTCAATCCAGCAGCGCCGGCAACTGTCAGGAGCAGACGACGTCCGTCGTTCCTGATTACCCTGGCAGCAGCAGCAGCAACAGCAACAACAACAACAACGAAGCGTTAAAGGGCACAACAGCAATAACCACAGCAACGGGACCGGGAGCGGGAGCGGGAGCAGCAATAGAAAGAAAGAAATATAAAAACAGCCATAAAAAAGACAACAGCAACATCACAACAAACAGCTCCTCAAACAGTAGCAACAACAACAAAAACAACAACAACAACAAAGGTGTAAGTGTCAAAATAATAACAATAAGTTAACAATGACAGTTCAAATATACAGCAGATTGACATATTGCTAGTTAATTGATAGATCAATTAAATATTGATATACATATATATGCACATACATTCTCAATCAGCTTTCTGTAATTATACGAAATCAGTGTGTATTTTTCGATCTAAAAAATATCATATATCATCTGGTTCAATCTAAAAAATATCATCTATCATCTGGTTATGTTTAAGTTTGACTGTGATTACGTCAAAACAAAGCTGATCGAATAAATCAGAGAATTATGGCACAAATAGCAAAGATAACACAACTTATAAGGCGGAGAATGAAGTATAAAAAAAAACCGTAAGCAATTTTATGCAATGCTGTGAAAATCGTGAAAGTTTCAAAATATATTTCAAGTACCGTCGGGATGCGACTTCAGTCAGCGAAAGACATATTTCAATTACCAAACAACAAAACAGACTCGTTTATTAAAGCTTCTGGCAAATCTGTGTAATATTTGTATGGCCGTGACTGTATGTGCATAAGCTCTTTATCAATTGTAGAACTCCTATATAGTTCCATTAATTAACACTTAATTAATACTCAATATGGCCAGGAACCGGAGCCAGTGCATCCAACTCTAGCGCAGGCCATTGTCGTATTGGAAACGAAAGCGCTGTGGGATCAGTTCCATGCACAGGGCACCGAGATGATAATTACGAAAACTGGTCGTCGCATGTTTCCCACGTTTCAGGTGCGCATCGGTGGCCTCGATCCGCATGCCACCTACATATGCATGATGGACTTTGTGCCAATGGATGATAAGCGTTATCGCTACGCGTTTCACAAGTAGATATACCAATCCAATTGCAATTACACATACAAGTGATCAACTGCTGTGATTATGATTTTCTTGTCTTTTCTATGCAGCTCCTGCTGGGTGGTGGCGGGTAAGGCGGACGCCATATCACCACCGCGGATACATGTGCATCCGGACTCGCCAGCGGCCGGGGCCAATTGGATGAAGCAAATAGTGTCCTTCGACAAGCTGAAGCTGACCAACAATCAGCTGGATGAGAATGGCCATGTGAGTAAAACAAATGAGCAGGCATTTTAAATGGGCCATAACTTTATGCTTGGCTTTTTATTTTTGTTTATGCGGGGCATAAAACATTTGGTCGCCGCTCGCGCCCCAAACAACTGTTATTTGTTGTTGTTTTGTTTTGAAAGCGCTAAACAAAAGCCGGCAGCCGTCATCCAAAAGCACTCCAGCACTCTGCTCACATTCATGAATCTCTCTCTCTCTCTCCGTGTATCTATCTATATGTCTGTCTCTGTCCCTTTTCCCGCTAATGTGTTGCCAAACCAATTGCCATTCACAGATCATACTGAACTCCATGCATCGCTACCAGCCGCGCTTCCACTTGGTCTACTTGCCGCCAAAGAATGCCTCGCTGGATGAAAATGAGCATTCGAGTAACTTTCGCACGTTCATATTCCCGGAGACGAGTTTTACGGCCGTAACAGCATACCAGAACCAGCGAGTGAGTAGCATGAGCCCGAATCCATGGGAGTGGGATTGGACTCGGGCGAGGGGTTACGGGGTACGGGGTACGGGGCACGGCGTATGGGGCACTTGACCCACTTGTCATCGTAACCACTTGTAAGCGACAAGCGCCAATGATTTTCAGTTTTAAAATTTACATGTTGAAAACATTTGGTCTACAATACGTTAGGCCCCCAAGCACCCAAGCCCCCCTTGTATAAAATCATTTTACAAAGCTTCTGCTGCCATTTTATGCCAATTTAATGCCATTGTTTATGTTTTCATTTTATGTGTTTGTTATTCTTTTTATTAATTTACAATGCGTAACACGCAAGTTAAATAGAAGATTCTTAGAAAGAAAGAAAAAACGACTGAGAGATACACTTTAATATTAAGATACACAAACACAAATCGGTCAACTACATTTATTTGATCATTTTATAAACAAAATAAATGATTACCTCGAATACTTATAGCTATTAATAGTTATAAGGCATGTGCCATATTTGAGCTATTATTAATTATAAAATAGTGTTATGTAAAATTTACCAGCATCAATTTTATATACAGAATATACATGAAATTTCTAAAGATCTTATAGAAGAAATAAGCGTGAGAATATTTATTTAATTTAACTACTTTTCACACTTATTACTCTATGTCGAAGAGCTGTAGAGTATCTTTCATAATTTTCCATGATATAGACAGAAACAGCAACAACTAAGCAGGCAGCAAAGAGAAAACAATATTTAAAATCTCTGGCATTTTATTTTTAGCGGCATTTTGTTCGAAAGTATTTAAATTATTTATGTGCTCAACGTGGGTGTTAACACTTTTCACTCCACAATTTATTGCAAATAATTTAGGTGTTCTGTGCGTGTGTGTGTGAGTGTGTGTGTGTGTGTGTGTGTGTGTGTTAGTTGTAGTTGCTGCTTATGTAGTTGATGTTATTCTTTAATGCTTTGTAAACATTTTCTTATTTGTTGCATTTAACGAAATAAAAACAACAACAGCCAATTTCAACCATCAACAAGCAGACTGGAATATTATTAATATAAACGGGGCCAAAACCGTTTACCACATTTATTTTCAAGAGAGAGAGAGAAAAGTAAAACAAATGAATTTTGGAAAATTTGTCTATGTTTTGCAGGTGACACAACTAAAAATATCGAGCAATCCGTTTGCCAAAGGATTCCGAGATGATGGCACCAACGATGTGTAAGTAGGCCAAAATATTTATTCAATTTTAAGTCTGTTTCAGGGGAACAGTAGTTAAGCCATGAAATTACTTAAACAACGAACAAATCTCTTGTAGGCTTAATATATGACACAGAATGGGGAAAAATACCGTTGACATAGTTATAGAAAAATATGAAATCGAATGCTATCTTTAGCTATTCGGAGAATGAATACCTTTGGTAGACAGAGGCATGTTGAGGATTTTCTTTTTAAATATTAAATAACTTAAGTTGCATCTGCTGTGATAATGATTAAATTTGAGCAAACTGTATGGGAAATGATTGAAATTGGGATAGATAGATCATTTGTAATGAACATTACCCACTTGGAGCAGACCCCATCCCATCGTCGATCACCATCGAGATCCAAGTGGCCCACTAGACAGTCCGTCGACCGCTGCTGTTAAAGTCATTCCGGGAATTGCCGGCGCGTCGCGTCTACAAAAATAAAAAAAAATATACAAGAAACAAGAAACAATAACTCAAAATGGGCGCAAGAACTTCAACTTAGAATGTGAAGCATAAGCAGCTCCGGCTGGCAATGATGGGGCAGCTGACAGATGTGCCAGCCATAAACAATTTTTTTTTTCGGTCTTGGCTTTTCATATTTTCGGCATTACGGCCGAGGGTCGATTGTAAACAAATGAGCAGAGCAGCGACTGCAATGTTTATCAAAAGCGTTTCACATTTTCAATTTCAATTCCGATTTGAAATATTTTAATTGCAGCACCAGTGGCAGCCTGGGCATGTCCAGCATGAGCCATGAGAGTCAGGCACGCATGAAACAGCAGCAGCAGCAGCAGCAGCAGCAACAACAGCAGCAGCAGCAACAGCAACATCAACAGCAGCAACAGCAGCAGCAACTGCAGCAGCAGCAGCAGCATTTAAAATCAAAGGACAGAACGCTGAACAACAGCTTCAGCTTGTCCTGCACAGAGCTTGTGGAACAGCAGACAGCAGTAGCAGCAGCAGCGGCGGCGGCAGCAGTGGCAACAACAGCAGCAGCGGCAGCAACATCTCAATTGGCCATGCAGCTGCCAGCCACGCCGTCGAGCAGCTCAACGTCGGGCAACTCGCCCGATTTGTTGGCCTTTCAGCTAGAAGCGACGCCACTGCAACAGCAACAACAGCAGCAACAACAACAGCAGCAACTGCACCAGCAACAATTGCAGCAGCAACAACCAGCTGCACAGCAAATGCACCAGCAACATCATCATCAGCAGCAGCAGCAGCCGCAACAGTCGCAACAGCCACAACAGCAGCAGCAGAGTCTTCACCAAATAACCAACAACTATGGAGCCAGCTATCATCATCCTTATCAGCATCATCATCAGCACACATCAACGCCACTGACACCACTCTCGGCCAGCTCAGCGTCACCACCAGCAGCGGGTGGTGGTGTTGGTGGTGCTGCCGCCGTTGCTGCCACCCAGGTAATGGCAGCGGCAAATATCTACTCAAACATTGGTCAGCCCTATGCGGGGGAGCAGAGCAACTTTGGTGCGATCTATCATCACAATGCGGCACACTATCACCATGGCCATGGATATGGCAGTCCCTACGACAAGCTCAAGGTATCCACGGGTCACATGCGACAGGCGGCGGCAGCTGCCGCATACGGCATGGGCAGCTATCAGAGCTTTTATGGCACAGCAGCGGCAGCACATCAAATGATGCGACCCAACAGCTACATCGATTTGGGACCGCGCTGATTGGCAGCGGGTCGCCACATAAAGTATTATACACATGTAGTTAGCTAGCTAGCGGCCTGAACTCAAGTATTACAAGTATTTTGAACTATACCAAAATTCAATTGAATTACATTTTTTTTATTTTTTTTTTGTAACTTTTAAGCGACAGTTTTGTGTCTAGTTAACAATTATGCCAAAAAAAAAAAATGTATCTTTTCTGTACACAAATTGTAGTTTGTAACTAAAATATGTTCTTTTTTTTAACAAGTTTATCACATTTCGCATTGTCTTTTAGTTGTTATTAAAGTGTAACATTGTGAAAGTTTGCTTAGTGTTCTATTTTACTCGTATTATCTCTCATTGTTCTATGTACATACTACTTACTATAAACATTTAAATGCTGCAACAGATTCAACAATAAATGCCAAATATAAATTAACAAAAAGTAAATTCGAACATTTCTTAGCTAAGGGTTAAATGCTCGGGGCCAACAAAATGGTTGCCAGCACGCCGTAATTGGTGCCATTCATTATTTACGCCGGCCTGCTCCCACACACACACACACACACACACACACACACACACACACACACTGACACACACATACACTCTCTCTTTCTCTTTCGCCTGCTCTTTGTGGCGTATAAACAAAAAGTGCCACTGATTTAATTAATACAAGCCAACGAAAGAGTGTGTACACACTTGCCCAACCCAAATACATTTACATACATATGTGTTGCACATACACACGAACACACCTTGGGGCCAATGTTTGCGGGTGCAGGCAACACTGAAATCAATTTCGACTTTAATGTTTTCACGCTTCTTGTCCCACCCCCCAACATATAAAACACACACAAAACTACATATTTTGAGTTGGCCCCAAATTGATAAGCTGCCTTTGAACTGCACCCGTTGACAGATGGGCACAGGAACGTATCCTGACTTTTGGAATTAGGGATCAAGTTCTGCAACAGAAATAATCCCCATGAAGGCCAGTGAAGGCGAGAGAGATAGCACTCCTGCGCATTTATGGACTTTAAGGGTGCTTTTGGCTACACGACGCATGAAGTAGAATTTAATAATAAGAAGTTAAGTGGGATTGGACCTAACTAAACGGACTTGGCTTTAGCTACCAGACATCAGACAATCGGAGTTGCCTGTCAACGTCTCAACAGTTAGAGCTTGTAAATATTAAGAAAAATGGGTTGGAGTGGAACCTTTGTCTGTAAACGAAATTTCGCGCATGAAAGCGTCAATATTGCAAAATCTCTGAAAGCCAAATTCACTAAGACCAATTCAGATTGGGAAAGGTTAAATATCTAGGAGTGTACTTGGCACGAATCGCTAAGCACATTTGCAAGTATTTTCAAGGAGGCAATATATACATCAGAGAGATGCGCGTCCTTTCAATCCCGAAAGCAAGTAGAATCACTAAGATATAGCCATCTTTTCAGACTGCCAGGCCGGCTATCAAAGGATTGCGAGTTTATAATATTGGCTCAAACATGGTATGGCAATGTGTAGATTATCAAATCTATTCACTTTTCTGAGGTCATCAACCATTTTGTGTGCAGAAAATACAGTAAGACAATAATAATAAACAAACAAATAATAATAAAAAATGACTAGAAGTCTTTGGTTGTTGACTTTCTAAATGTGCGTGAAAGTAACGAGACTCCAGAACACGTTCTGGAAGATTGACCGGCAGTAAGTAAGGGGCCTATACACTAATGATAATAATAATCGCAATATTGCATCGTAGCATTGATTAGTTATTCAAATCTAAGGCGCAGATGCAATGTGTTTCTTCTCACGCATTCCATTCAAATGCATCTGTGCTGTTATTAATCTGTCGTATGCCATTTTTGAATATGTGAGTGGCTATTTCTCGACATGGGAGATCATCATCATTGCCATCCGGTTGTGTGTTTACAATTTGCTTAGACATCCTTGGGGAAAAAGGGAAGTTAGTAGCATTCCGTCTACCATGTGGGTCATTGGTTTCATTGGGCATGTGTATCCAATTTGTTCAAATGCAAAAAAATCTGTCCCGATTGGCGTAGTTATATTCGTTGACCGACTTTTGTAAAAATTGCAAGTTACCAGTTGAACAATAAGCAAGTTAATGTCCCCATAGAAGACTTATTAAGAAGCTGGCCCATTGTTAACATATTTGAATCGCTTAAGGATCAATTCACCACGATCTTTACATTCGGCTTGGTGTTGCAGATGTGAAAGGGCTCGGAATGCTATCTGGGATGATTCTAAATGTTAACAGCGACCATATTACTCAGTTTTTTTATTTGTGATGTGGAGCAGTACAAAAAATATTCTTATATATTTTATATATATTCTTATTTAGTTTTGTATCACTTAAAACCTATCTCAAAAAGGTGGAACCACCCTAAAACTCGTCCTAATCAATAGGTTTTACTTTCATCTTCTAGACCTTGAGTCCAAAATTATAATATTGGTATTGAAAAATTATATTTAAATCTGATATTTTCGATCTCATCAAACTGAAGGACGCAAGATAAACACTCTTTTAAAATAAAAAGAAATCAATAAAATAAAGTTAATTAACAATTTTCGTGATGTTCTCTTCTCTGTAGTCAGATACATGTTTTATTATACTCGCAACATTTTGTTACAACTTTGTAAACATGGAAATGATTTGACGCTAGCAAAGCAGTTCCTTCTCCTTTCGCCTCAAGCAAACACCGATCTGAAAGGCCATAAAAATTTGACAGTGTTTCACTCATGTTATCGATTTCTGTGGCATTCATCTTTTTTACAATACAAATGGCAATAATTGCAATCAAAATGACTCAATTTCAGTGGAAACACCATCGACATCAACATGCCATTATCATTATCATACAAATGCTCTCTGCTGCTGCGGCAGTTGCAGATCATCCGCCTGTTGTGGATGGCGTTGCTGTTGCCGCTGTGCCGCTGTTGCAGCTTCTCTCGGCTGTGCCAACAAATCTGTTAACAGTTGGAAATAATTGTGCTGCAGCAGAAACATCGTCATAATTTTAGCTGCTGCTTTGTCCCTTTTCGGCAGCATAATGGTATATGTCTGCTATTTTTGGGCTTTGCCTTTTATTGTTGCAGGCAGCGTTGTCATCGATGGCATTAATTTTGGTAAGTGCACACTGAGCACCAATAGCGGGAAGCGGCGGTTGAAGAGGCGCTTTTCAACACGCAGTGGCAAACGATTTTTATGGTGCGACATTTCCGAGCAACATTTTCTTGAATTACTCGCTCAATTTCCGTTGAATCAACAAGAGACCCATCTCCGGACTCCGGACTCCTTCAGATGCAACTGCAACTGTGCAGCATCAACGTGCCGTGAACGTTAATTGATGGTCTCTTGCAATATTGTGTAATATTAATTAGCTCGACGCCGACAACCATCAAAATATAATTTGTAAATACAAATTTGCGCAAAACATTTTGCCATCAACTCATGATTTTCTCAACTTTTTATTTCATAATTTTCACGGCTCATAAACGAAGCTACTTTGTTGCCTGTCAACTTTTGCACTGTATCTTTTTCCTTAAGTCTTTCTCCATCTCCCCTTCACTCTCTCTCTCTCTCTCTCTCTCTCTCTCTGTCTCTCTCGCTTAGTTTTTTACAGTCGATCGTTGTCATCAGTTGTGGGCACGTGCGTCTGGCATGGCTGTATACAAAAGGAAATGGGGCTGGGGTCTGCCAGAATCCTTGTCTGGGGCATGCTGCACAGATTTGTTTGTGGGCGTGTCAGCAATATGTCAATATCCACTCGAGAGTCGCGCATGCGTGCACCCAAATGCCCGGAAAAGGTAGTTCAGAACCGAAGGCGTGTAGCCACAAAGGGTTGAGGCACTTCAACTCTGACGAGATCTCGAAATAAACCGTGCCAACTAAACAAGTAGGCATCTTTAAACTTGATACCCTGCCAGGTTATCAAGGGGATATTTGCAGCATAATACATACACATATAGATACAAAAATTAAATCGAAAATTGAAGAATCAAGATCAATGCTAATCTTCATCGCGTATTAAATATTTTAAGGATTTGTGGTCTGTTTCAATGGTCCATGTAATAAGGAAATTTAATTTATACTAAATATTGTATCTAATCTGTATATTGTATATTATAAATATTGGATCTATCTATTGTATATATTGTATCTAATCGTATATTGCATTCAAAATATTTATTTATCTAGTGTATTTAAATGTTGATGAAACTGGACTCAAATGAGCATTGCCGAATGCAATGGAGGGTTACTGGCTACTGCTACCTAAGTACATATGTTACAGGGTATATATGCATACCTATAAGTACACAGAGAAAGGAAAATAACTTAGGAATACCAAACACACGATGCTCACATAAACAAAGGCTCAAGTGTCAATGAAAAAGCGGAAAAAATAAGGCAAAATATAAACACGGTTTCACTTTCAAAGCGATTAGCTATGGACGCGCCTTGAACTTGTGCGGAAAATGTAGCAACAACAAAAATACCCTCTCGGCACTGGGCAAGTTGATAAGAATAACAGTCACAGCCGTCATTATTATTATTGTTGTTGTTGTTGGTGTTGCTTTTGTTGCTGCTGCATTGGAACCCATGCCACTTGAAGACCTTCCCGCCATTTGACACCATTGAATGGATCGTTCAAACAAACTGAATATGTACGTACATATATCGATCTACCAGGCGACACACCGCACACCTACAACATTGACACACACACACACACACACAGAGACACACTCATGGTCTATGTGTAGTTGTGGACCTACCGCAGCGCTGCCTGCAATAAATATTCAAATTTTCAATGCCGATATTCATTTTGCAGTGGCATCCAGAAATCATTTTTCAAATGGTCTTCGGTTGCGTCTGACCCTTTTGAAGTGCCTGGCGTCTGTCCAGCCCATTATTATCATCATCATATCGACTGGTGACTGTGAAGCGCAATCGTAATCCAAGGTCCCCATTTTCTGTACAATAAATTGGTCTGTGTTGGTCTCAGCACATTGGAAACATGTCACCACCGGCTACGTCACTCTGCGATAGTCCTTATCAACAGTGATAACGAGCTGCCGTTGATTAGCAAGAAGCTTACAAACATAAGTTAAGTACTTGTATGGCTAGCTTTACCGCCTTTTTAAGTTCGAATACATATTTGTGCTAAAGTACATTTTACCTGCAATACACATTTGTATTGTATGCTTAGTGTTCTTACACTGCACAGTTTTTCAAAATTATGAT